CTATAGAAGTGCAATTTGAAAATGCAGACCAGCGAGTGCAAGTGCGTTTGATTCGACACCGCCGGATTTCTCCTGTCGGGGAGCCTTATTCGGCCGGGGATATTCCTGCGCAAGGCTGCCGTGAGAGGCTGCAAGGCTGGCAATGACCAAAGTACTACCCGCGGCAAGTCGCGATTTGTCGTATTATATGATCTTGGCAAACTACAAATACCACGGTTTTGTCTCGCAGTGTCCGATCAGCCTGAGCAAGCCATTGTACCCTCTGTGCATGGGAAACTAAGGCTTTGTGTAAGATTCACTCAGTTATCTAAAGCACCGCCAAGGAAATTAAGAAGTCATCCCATCTATTCTGACGTGCACATAGTGGGGTAGAGAAGCCTAGACCAGGCAGCTGATCTTAGGGAATTGTGCGACTCGACGTGCATCCCCTTGCCTTAGTAGGGGGTCAATGCGGGATTTAAACAACACTCTTCCCCAGGGCTGAATATTTCGTAGCATGAACCACTGGTCTTTCTGATCACTAATACCCACAGGCTCAGAATAACTATCCCTCAGAGTCATTTCCATCTGCGAGCTCTCTCTGATTCGTATCGATCAGCTGACAATTGCTTCTTGAGACACCTAGCAAGCATGAAGCCACGCCTACACTACGACGACGTCGCCTGGGAGAAGGCTGAAGACATCACCAATGCGTGGGTTCGACAGTTCTTTGACCCCAAGATTCTGCAATCCGTCGCGCAATTCCTGAAAAGACACCATGGCCCTGGGAATGTTGATGAATTCAGCTATCTGGAGAAGGGCTCGTACAACATCACCTTTCAGATGAAGAACAAGAATGCAAACTCTACGGTCATACGTTTCGTCCAGCCAGGATCAATTATGTTTCCCGAAGAGAAAGTACGCAATGAAGTGGCAATGATGCGATACATCAATGATCAAACTGACATTCCTGTTCCTTTCATTTGTCACTGGGGACCGAGGGAAGAAAGTCCTCGGGGCCTAGGACCGTTCATCATCATGGAATACGTTGAGCATAAGACAAACATGTATGATGTTCTCAACAGGCCTGGCTGTCCTCGTGAAGAGCGTGGTTTCCTTAACCCCGATATCCGTGAGGCCAGGCTGGAGGCGTTGTATGGAGAGGTTGCAACCGTTTTACTGAAGCTTTCGAAACCAAATTTTCCCCGAATAGGGTCACTGAAACAGGTCGATGATTTCACGTGGGAAGTAACCCAGCGGCCTTTGTCAATGTCTATGAATAGTCTGATTCGACTAGGCTCGTTACCTCGATCAAAACTTCCCAACACGACGTTCGAAACGACCTCTTCATATTTCGAAGCATTAGCAGAGCTCCACGTTGCACACCTCACCCACCAACGTAATGATGCGATCGATTCAGCGGACGACTGTCGACGGAAGCTTGTTGCTCGATATCTCTTTCGAAAACTTGCCAGGGAACATCATTTATCAAAGCCGTTGGGCGCCTTCGATAACGGCCCGTTCAAACTTTGGTGCGATGACTTCCGCCCAGCTAATATCCTACTGAGCGAAGAGCTGAAGATTGTCGGCGTTGTTGACTGGGAGTTCACATACGCTGCGCCTGTTGAATTCTCGTTTGCGCCTCCTTGGTGGCTGCTCATTGAGAAGCCTGAATACTGGCCACAGGGGCTTGACGACTGGTGCAGTGAATATCAACGACGTCTTCCAACCTTCCTCAAGGCGATAAGAGACCAGGAGGATAGGGCAATTGAGCAGGGGTGGCTAGACGATACCGAGCGGCTGTCGGGTCCTATGAAAGACAGCTGGGAGAGTGGGGATTTCTGGATAGCATATGCAGCGAGGAACAACTTTGCCTTTGACTTGATTTACTGGTACAAGATTGATCAGCGATTTTTTGGATCGACGTCTACTCCCATCGATGATGTTTGGAAACAGAGGCTGGTCATACTGGAGCCTGCAGAGAGAGCCGAAATTGAACAAATTGTGGCGATTAAGGTTGAAGAGATGCAGACACAGCCATTGGCTTGGGATCCGGATGGCTACACTAGAGAGGTCGCAGATACCCTCTGCGAAAATAACGCAGACAACGAACCTGAAAGGGAAACATCGGAATATGCACTAGACGAGAGGCGTGGTCCGACAACGCTGGAAGAACTGTCTCTGGTCGGTGATGGTTCATTTATTATTTTTAACAAGCTTCGTAAAAAAGTATATTAGCAGTCTAGATCCGAAGCAGAATGATCATGTTTTTTTTGAAGAGCTTTCCCTCAATAAATACATGGACGAGGACTTTCATTTCTTCATTTGCATACAGTGAAACCGTGTCCTTATATTTAGTTATAGTCTCCTGTTAATATGTCTCTTCCTCACAGGCCCTCTTTGCGTGCGTCCTTTTTGTGTGAGATCAGGCCGCTCTTCTGCTATATCTAGGAAGGTGGAAAGGCACGCTTTGCCCAGAGAAAAAGCATAATCATTACGAATAACTCCTTATAATTGTGCAGAGAGCACAAACGGATGACTCTACTAGCAGTTAGAGACCATGACAACGGGGCTTGCGCTAGCACATCATAAAACCGCTCACTCCTGGCAGTAAGATCACTTGAACTCAGGGAACTCCTCCTCGGTCCAGACCTGCCACACCAGCCGCTCACCACTAACAGTGCCACTTCTCATAATGTCTAAAGCTTTGCGCGCCCTATCCAAGAGAGTCTCTCCTTCAACTATCTGCTGATTATTCGGCTTGATAGCACCTTGGGCCAAGAGCGTCGGCATGATCTCTGTTTGAAGATGGTCCCGCAAAAATTGGTTCTGAGGACGAAATATTATTAGCCCAAACTCAGTAGCTATTACCGTGATGACTCCTATAGAACAGAAGAAGACATAATATGCAAGTGCCGACATACCTCTTCATAGTTGTAAACTACAATGGGGTGAATTTCCACTCCCGATGCCCAGGGCGCTTCCGCAGAGACATCTGGGGAAAGCTTGAGACCGTCTTTTTCAGCTAAGGTGCTGATAACGACTGGAAGAACAGCAGAAACAGCTGATCCTGATTGTGTCGCAATCTTGGAGATTGGAATTAAGGAACCGTATTTCGAGGCTACAGAGTCAAAGACACGAATCCTGTCTGAGTGCCCTTGACTGGCCAGGAGTTCGAGGATGGAAGCAGTGACATTGGGGTCGCGATAGTCGAAGACGTGTGCCGCACCATAAGCCTTGATCCTTTCATGATGCTTCGGCGAAGCTGTTGCAATCACGTTCGTGTATCCCCAGTGTTTGAGGATTTGCACCGCAGACTGCCCCACGGAACTGGCAGCACCCCAAATGAGAACCGGTACATCTTTGTCGGATGGGGTGAACTTGTCTGGACGCGGCCAAGGCAGCTCAATCTTGAGCTTTTCAGAAAGTGCAAAGAACGCAGTGCAGAAGTTTGTCGGTATGGTAGCCGCAGCAGACAATGGAATGCTTTGTGGGACCTGTTACTCCGGGTTAAACTGGCATAAAACAATGTAACTTGGAAGTGGTGTGTGAACGAACCTTACCAAAAAGGGTTTCTGGCGCAGTTACATATACCTGCTGACCCTTTTGTGTCTTGTTCTGGAAAAACATTCCGAACACTCGATCGCCAATTTGGAGGCGCTTGACATCAGGACCAACAGCTACCACAGTCCCCGCGGCCGTATCACCCAGCGTCTGAGGGAACTGGACCATGAGCCCGGCATCGACTTGCCAGACATCCAACGGGGCGGATGGAACCCATTCTACCCGGACTTGAATTTCCCGATGGGCAGGCTTCCAAGTCGGAACATGCTGAATTGTTAAAGGCCCCTTCAGTGCGGGTACGATGATTGCTGGGTGGGTGGCCATGATAATGGAGACTATGAGTAAGGAAATGGATCGTAGTGGAATGATCAGAGTTGTGCTGTTAGTGTTAACCCAGAGGATCCCAGCCAGCTTGAGGGCTCATAGTTCAAATATATAACCGCGACCCCACAGACAATGAAGCTCGTCACTACTGGGCTGTGGTGGCAACTCTGAATTGAATACGATGCGATTATAAATCCGTCTCTACTCATGAATGACGAAACTTGAGACACTGACTTCGAAACAGTTCGATTCTCAATCACAACGGTGACACTTGAACCATCACGCTGCCCCATACAGGTCTAGCTGATGGAAAACCTAGATAGCGTGCTGACAGTCGGTATCTCATTGGTGGTGTCAGCAATACGCATTAGCTTCCGCGAGAGTGGAGTGCCCCATGGTGTGGTTGTGCCTACAGGGTGCGTGATGAACCTTGGATACCACATAAAAGGCACCATTCATCTGTGTGATTAGTAGATTGTCCTGTAGTATGTTCTGTAGTATGTACGTTGATCAGATTGATCATTGCTATTTGATAAGGTCCGTTTACGAAGCGAAAGAACGAGGCGAATAGACTACGGGAAGTAAACAAATTTTCTGTCCCTTCCATGGGAGACTTCAGGTGAAGCAACATTCCAGGGTTATATTGCCTATGAGCGTGCACTGTCAGTCCCTGTTGGGACATGTCTCTCCGTCCGCTGATCAGCTGAAGCGGAAAATTGCTTATGGTCTAGCGGTTAGTAGCTCGTCGACAGTTTCTCATCCTGTGAGCTCCGGCAAAAAGCCCGGACACGGCGATACCACCTGAAAGTGTGGAAATGCCAAAAGCTCCACTCAGGGTCCAGGATGTTGGCTACATCCACCGTGTAGAATCCATCATATCCCATATCTACAAATCCGTCGGGAAACCGTCGGAGTTACCGGACTTTACTTCCGTGCAGTGTTTGCCCCACAACCATCAAACGCTGCTTCGACGGCCACGGGAATAGCCACACAACAGACTCACCTTCCAGTTTGACTGTATCCCAACTCTTGTACTCTCCTCCCTTCTCGCTGCCTTTATCTGAACTCGGAAGCTTCCAGCCGTGACAGTACATCACTTGAAATTAGCCCATCAATCATTGGCGATCAGCAAAATGGCTCGCATTCTCATCACTGGCTCGGTCGACGGGCTTGGTCTCGAGGCTGCCAGGCAGCTTGTTAACAGAGGACACACCGTATACCTGCATGCGCGCAATGAGCAACGTGCAGTGGACGCCAAATCTGCGTGCCCGGGTGCCGCCGGGGTGTTGACTGCCGACTTGTCCAGGATAGAAGACACGCAGAAGCTCTGCGACGATGCCAACGCAATTGGTGATTTTGATGCTGTCATCCTCAATGCTGGAATCATGCAGGGTGGCTTTCGGAAGAATGCGGATACTGGTGTTCCAGCCTTGGTGTCGGTCAACCTTATTGCACCTTATGTGATGTCCTGTTTGCTGCGTCCACCCAAACGCCTCGTTTTCATTTCCTCAAACCTGCACCGGTACGCAGACATGACAAGCATGGATGATATGTTCTGGTTCAAACGCGGGGAGGCCAGCTACCAAAGTTACCCGGCATACTGTGATTCTAAGCTTCATGTCATGCTCCTCGCCAATGCAATCGCTCGGCGGTTCAGGAACACATCGGTGACCTCGGTGCATCCCGGATGGGTGGCAACCAAGCTTGGCGGACAGGGTGCCCCAGATAAGGTGGAGGACGGTGTTGAAACGTATGTCATGTTAGCCGAAGGGAATTATGATGAACAGAACCTCTCTGGAGGGTATTTCGAGCCCAAGGGGAAGATTGGTCAGCCGATTCCGGCAGCAAGAGATGAGAATTTGCAAGAGAAAGTCGTCGAAGCCTGTGAAGAGGTCACTGGCTTGAAACTGCCGGCTTAAAATGCAGAGCTTTCTATTGATGGGATGACGAACTATGCCAACGTCTTGACCAAATTCACCCATAAAATTTGCATAGATATTGACTGCAAAGTACTCCAAGTTTTCAATGTCTATCACTCAAACCTGTGTCATGATAGAATCGATCGAGGAGGACATGAGCCTCCTAAAATACATCCGTAGAACATATTCCCGATCGGTACAGCGCCCTCTACCGTTGAACACTGTATGACCAAAAAAGATAACTAGAAAGTGCCAGAGTAATTGTCTGGACTGCTATCGCCCTGATGGATGTGATTGAGGATAAGAGGTATGGAGTGCTTATGCACTTTGAGGAGCCTCAAATGACCAAAACCGCATATACAACTGTGTAATAAAGGATAATAAAGGTGCAAAAACCTGACAAGATACAATATGAGCACGTGAGACATGATAACCTTTCCTGTCAATCCGAAGTTTGACGATGGCTGTACCTACGCGGTCGATGAGGCAGGTCCAATATTGAAAACACTAATGAAGGTAGGCGTTCAACTCGATACAGGAAACGTAAGCAAGGTCAAGGAGATCATAATGTGTTCGCTAATGAGGCAATATTCCACATCAGTTATCAAAGTGAGAATTATGCTCGTGCATGGCTGCTCAAAATATGGTCAAATAACGAATAGCCGTGGGACACTGGTACCTCGGAAATAGTGATGGAAAGATGATACTTGGATTGCATTGACATCCGCCTCAACTATGTTGCTCGGTTGAACTACAGGTCTGCTGTCCCTAAGGATCGCCTTGTTGGGGAGTAGACTCTGTGGACTTTGCTAGAGCAGCCGCGGTATATCGTCTGCTATGTCACTGAACTCGCAAGGTAGGCCTTTAAAGAGAAAGAGAGAACAAGGAGACGACTTTTTCTAAACCAATACTAGCCGTACAACCCACTGGAGCCCTCCCGCGAACAACTAGTTAATGGTCCCGAGACGGGAGATACATCAAATTATCCCTCAGAAAACGCAATCGCCTCCAAATCCAACACAGATCATTGGCCGTTCATCATCCATATCCCCGACCATGGATGGGGAAGCCCTTGAAACGGCATCAGTTCAGCTCCTTCTGTGGTCTGCGCTGACCCAATATGACTCTGCTTTAATCAAGATCGGCGGCGTGGGTCTGGGCTCCGCCGATAAGATGAAGTGTGCCAAAAACAACTCCAACACCGCCCACTTAGCCGCTATAACCCAATCTGGGGTCACTTTGCGAAACCCCACGGCGTCCATTCCAAGGTTTTTTTTTGGGTTTTGTTTTCTTCCTGTACGCACCTTCCAAGCTGAATACGTATGCTCCTAGGCTACAGTATTCCCAATTGTCTTCCGCAGTGATCGCAGATCATAGACATGAATACATCGCAAATTCTGCCTAACTTACTGAATCGGAAACCTAAGAGCCCTGTTGGAGTGCCGACAGACGCTAGCCGTTTTGTCAGTGCATAATTGGGGCACGAGGAGACCGAAGATACTCAAGATCCTCGGAGATAACAAGCTCTTCATATTGCTGCTGCCCTGGACCCACTCGCTTGAGGATCATTGCCTGATTCGAAACCCTCTGTCCCGGTCTCGAGGATCACTGATTTTTTGTCTAAACGATCAGTAGTCTAGATAAATAGAGATGATGAAGATATAGCCTACCGAGTTCCATTGTAATACCGAGTCCCCACCCCTGACCCTCCATGTCCGATGTGAGTAGCACATCTACGTCTATTCAAGATGTCTGTTCAGGGGCAATATCCTATCGCTTAGCCTGGCAGAAATGCATAAACTTGATACTGGTTTTAGCTGCATGGATCCAGCTTTGTGCCACATCCGACCTCCGACCATTAGATCCCAATTTAAAGGGAATGTTACGCATGCAAGGTGTGCGTTTCTTCTAAAGTACCCGTTCTTACCCGCGGCAGATTTTCCGTCCGACCCACCAGTCTTTGGGTCAAACTGGGGTATGTCCGTACATCGCTCCCTGTTTAGAGCATCTAAATTCCTCCAATGAGGGTGGTGGATATGGCGATGATGCACTTTACAAGACGCACTGGCGCTTTTAGTGTCTTTAGAAGGCCTTAACAAAATTCCCCATATCGCGGACTACATGGCGTGGCTAACGCGTCTATCATATCGCAGCTGACGAGGCCAATTGCACCGGAACTCCGTGATGTGCCGTCGGGGGAGAAAGGGATACCCCAAGTACCTAGTGACCGTTTTACACGCACTCAGGCATGTTGAAGAAATGAATGTCGGTGGCCTGGACTGCGAAGGTGCAATCGGGATTCATGTGCACCTTGACCACACTGCTCCGGCATGAACGGCTCATGATCACCGATCGTAACTTCCTCATCGTGCTCCCGGAGCCACTTCTTCATGGAAGATCAATCATTACTAGGATATAATTTTTGTTAGCTATAAAAGGGCCTCCTGTACTTCCAGTACATATTCTGTTTCATTCTTCTCCTTTCATAGTCACTCATTCCATCTCAATTTCTTTCCATTCCGAGTAAAGACTATTCACCGTCACAATGAAGGGCTTTGGATCCGCTGTTCCTATGTTTCTTTCTTTGGGCACAATTGCCGTTGCCTCGGCGTCCTGCGATCCGAGTACCCTGAATACCACAAGTTATCTCTACGATATCACCGAAGAGACTACAGTGTTCGAGGTTGCCCGCAAGACCAACCGTGGTGTCTGTGACATTGGCCGACACAACCTTATGGCAGATGTGACCATTCCACCTAATATTGGCGAAGTCTTCATCATCCCTGGCGAAACCTGCACTCCAGACAATGAGTCTTGCCTGATCAAAGATGTGGGCCGTACCCGGACTTGCATCTACGGTGGACCACGTTTGTACTACACTGTCAAAGGGGACACATATGAAAAGATTGCCCTCCGTCTCAACATAACTACCGAATCACTCTCGGGCGGTCAGTCCGCTAATGAAACATTGCGGGTTGGCCAATTTATCAAGGTCCCCGAGTGCTCGCCGAGTCAATGTATCATCCAGCCTTATTCGTTTGAGTGGGGTGTGTATAAGGATCTTGCCGACAAGTATGGGACGACTGTTGGCCAAATCATGATGCTAAGCCCGACATACAACTACAGCAGTCTGGCTTTCAGCAACGGGGGAACAGCTCCGCCAATTGATCTTCCGATCAACTGCACTGCTCTGTCGAGCAATATCACCGTTATCAGCTAGAGTTGTTCCCCTTGGGAGTCGGTTGAAGAGACGGCTTTATCCAGCCGTATGCGTCCATCATTGGTTTCATTCTGCTCGAAGCTCATGTACTTTCCTTTACATTCCAACTGGGTGTTGATTTTAATCACGGGTTTGGGAAGGGGTTGCTGTTGGAGAGGCCTTTTCACAATTGCCTATCTGTAAATAAGGAGCTTTTCAATCCAGGTCTAGATGATGAGTACATCAATGGCCACCCTTCAATCAATAAAATTATAAGAAGTATAAACTGTCTTGTTTGTCGGCTGTGGCCGTAGTCATCAACCCTCTGTAAGCATTCTGATATCCCAAAGTGAACATCATACAGTCCACACTATATTCTTGCTATTGTAGGGTTTGCGTTCATTAGTCTCTTTGGTGAGACAAGAAGAATGCTTGACTTAGCTGAAGCCGCCGGCTGCGTGCTGTTGGGGTCGTAATCAGACTTCTTTGGGACACACCATTGGGCAGTAGAGGCATTCAGACCAGTCGGAAATATTGCGTATACTCCCTTATGTGAAGTCTGAAGGACCCAATAGGAATGACGGCGGTTGCCTATTCGGAGGGCTCGAGGCTCCGCCCGGCCCTGTGATGTCGGAGGTAAAAGGATTGCGCAGCTGCCTCTTTCAGTTCGAAGAACGATAATAGTTACAGCCGATGCCGCAATTTCTAAGCACGAGAAAAGGCACTCCCCCCCCCCCCTTTCCAGTCCTCATGTGGGATGTGGGAGAACGAGTGGGTGGACCTCTGATCCCAATTACAAAACGTCCTGCCTCGACTTGCTGGGAATGATCCATTCATTTTCTACGAAGGCCCGAAACCATATGGCCGAGCTCTCATGCAATACATGCGGGAGTAAATCTGGACGAAGAAGATTATCCCGTGTCGTTTGACAAAACAAGCATCAGAGGGGTATAGAGCGGCCCGGACGAGGCCCGAGATTGCTAGGAGTGGCGTATCGTATTGTATTTTCTCCACCGGTCTTTTGAGTTGGAGTGCAACTACGCAAGGTTGCAACATCAAATCCGTCAGTCTTTACATATACCTGATTGGGAGGGCGCGGATCGCTTCGGGTGGGCAGGTCCGAGGGACAATTTGCTATACGAGGTGCAACAAGTGATCACCGACGGGTATCCATTTCAGGGTTCAAGGTCCGAAAGGTGGAGATCCCGGAAACTTCTCTGCGTGGCACCTGCATTTTTTGACCCTCCACACTAGAAGACACTAAATTAAGCCCTGAGGGCCATACTCCTGTGCTGAGATAATTCTGCCCATCTAAGCGAAGATGGCTCTGGTACTTTCCAATTGTCAGCGGGTACATCCCCACCCCATCCCGCTCTTCAGAGTCCTGAGTTCTGAGTTCTGAGTTCTGACATTTAAGACGAAGCTTGGCCCTGCTTGCTTTTCGACTACTGCCCAAGTTTGTCTCAGAGCTTGGTTCAATCGCAGGCTATCGTGTGTGAACGGTGACCTGCTTTCTGTTATCTTTATATCAACCCATTCAACCAATACCTGTCACCCCTGCCACTAGGGAGTGGAAAGAGCCATGTTTGTTTCGAAGGCATGGGCCTGGCTTGCATTAGCCTCTGCCACCCTAGTCTCTGGTGTATCGCATGCAAAAGACCAGGCTAGGAGAGAAGCCACCTCAGATACAAAACTAGGTACCTTCCTCCACAACCGCATCAGTCCCAATTATTCCGAGCTGTATATTGCCGAGCCAGACGGCTCCAATGAGAAGCTCCTCCTGGGTTCCAACACCGTGTACGACTTCCGAGCCAGCTGGTCCCCTGACGCAAAGTATGTTTATTTCACGTCGGAGAGAAGAGGGGACGGCCAGGCGGATATCTACCGTGTCGCCATCAATGGCACCAGTACCGTGGGGGCAGAAATAGAAGAAGTCGCTTTGTCACCCGGTGTGGACGACTCTGCTTCGATCTCCCCTGATGGCAAGATGCTGGCATTTGCAACTTCGAGATACAACCAGACTAGCCAGATAATGCTCATGGTCCTGGAGACCGGATCGCTCAAGAACCTCACGCTCATTCCCGGTATCTCCGAGGCCGCCAACTCTTCACTACCCAATGGATACTTCAAGCCGACATGGTCCCCTGATGGAGAGTGGGTCGTCTTCACATCCGATCGCAACACCCCATGGCGGGGCCACAGCGACGGCTCTGGTTGGGAGCATACCCAGGAGTTGTCCATTTACGCAGCCCGCCCCAATGGTACCGACTTTCGTCTCGTCTCGTCTCGGAGCAACTACACCCAGGGATCGCCTAGATTCTCTCCAAATGGAAAGCGCCTGGTCTTCTATGAGATGTTGACCGAGGACACATACAATGGTCGTCTGCAGCCTGAGCTGCTCGAAGGAGCTTACCTCAACACCAGCATCGTCTCGATTGATTTCGCCACTGGTGGTGACCGCATTGTTCATGCTACTGGAGATGGGACCAAGATCAGTCCTTCGTTCGTCACCGACGATGTAAGTATCCTGATTCAGCCAAACTGTAGTATTCCATACTGATCATTGAATGCCCCCGACAGGTTATTGGCTACGTCATGAAAGAGTCGGCGAGCAATGGTATCTACTACACCTCCATCTCGGGTAAAAACCACACGCAATACCAGACCATTCCCATGAATACCATGACACCTGCTATACGCTCCCCTGCCTGGTCGCCAGATGGCAAATATATCATCTATGATAAACAAGGTCCTACGGGCGGTAGTACGTCGACATCGAAGACTCAGTATTCCCCGCTGTGGAACTTTGACCCGGACTGGGACTACCGCTTCACGGATGTTTTCCCGATGGCCAAGCGTGGAGGCTGCCCTATGATGGCCATGTCACAGCAGATGGAGGGTGTCGCAGATAGCAATCTTATGCGTCTCCAAATGAACGGCACTGATCAGGTTACCCTCTTCGAGACCAAGAAGGGCATGATCAATCCTTCTATCGCGGAAGGCTTTAACGCCCGTGCCTATCAGGGCAACTGGGGACCGAATGATACCAACATCACGTTCGGCTACGGTGCATACTTCGTGGGTCGCCAAAGCAGCCCGGGGTTCATCTTCAGTGTTACCCCGGAGGGTACGGGCGTGACCCTCCTCGCCGGCAACAACATCACCAACTACGGATTCCCGTCTTACAACCATGATGGCACGCAGGTCGTTTTCCGGACCTGGCCTGGTACGGCCTCCAATGGTACCACCATTGGCACCACTGGATTGGCCATTGTCGATCTACCCTCTCGGCTGGTGACCCAACTTACAACCGAGTGGGATAACCTCCCGGCTTTCTCCCCTGATGGCAAGAAGATCTTGTTCACACGGCGCACCAATCTGGATAACATTGGCGACAACTATGATATTTTCACCATGAACCCGGATGGCAGTGAACTTACGAAGCTCACTCCCTCTATCGCCAGTGATGCCCATGCTGTGTGGACCCAAGATGGACGTATCCTATACAGTACTGCGATGTTCGGCTTCCAGCAGGAGGCACCCTTATACGATGATTCTATGCAGCCATACGCTATCATCGTGCTCATGGAAGCCGATGGTAGCAACAAGACCGTGTTGTCGAACAGTTTGTGGGAAGATGCCATGCCTATGTTTGCGCCCGCTCAAGTCATGGAATCCCATTGTTGTTTCTAGGGGGACACGCGCGACTGAGAGAGGTCGTGAATATGACTGATTGTCTAGGTGGTGGTATCTCCATTTCCATCTCCTTTTGTTCTCCTTGATGGACCTTTTATCTTTTACTGTCTTCATTGTATATAAGAAATATGTGTGTGTGTCAATGTCAAAGAATCAATTGCGTTGTTATCTGATCTCAACTGTGCCTCTTCGCTATGTAATCGTACTGTGCAAATGTAAGGTGGTGGCAGAGTAAGTCTTGGACTCTATCTGAAGCTAGTACTGACTCACTGACTAGACCTCGGCATCACTGAGATAATGGGACAAGGTGTCGCGAGAAAATGGCGATTAAGATGTAGATCTACCTCTATTACCATCAATTGAATTTTGATTGCTCGACGATGTTCTCTGTACGTCTAGCCGCGCTGATCGAAACAACCGTTAAAGCAAGCTTGGCCGCACCAAGAAGCCTGATCCTGGGATTACCCGAAAGTGGAGCGAGCCTTATCATCCGCCCCCCTCACTGATAACATCCATGACTCTCAACTGCGTCAATCCGCTATATGTAAAGACCGCCGTGCTGTAACTCGACACAGTGTGTAAACTCTTCATCATGGTCACCACCAGAGTAGCAGCCTGCCACGTCGCCCCTCACTTCCTGTCCGCGTCGAAAACCACGCGCAAAGCCGTCTCCCTCATCCATCAAGCGGCACACAATGCCGCCCACGTAGTTGTCTTTCCCGAGTCCTACATTGCGGCCTTTCCCCTCTGGAGTTGCGCTGCGCCCACCCACGGATAATCACGATTTATTCTCCCGTATGGTGGCGAACTCGATTGCCATCGATGGCGAAGAGGTTGCTGTGCTGCGGACTGCCGCTCGTGAGACCAACACTGTCGTGAGCATCGGCATCTCGGAGCGTAGCCTGACCAGCACTGCCTGTCTCTACAACTCGAACCTCATCATCGACAGCATTGGCTCCATCGCCGTGCATCACCGCAAGCTGATGCCAACCTTCTTCGAGAAATTGACCTGGAGTCCCGGTGATGGGCACGGGCTAAGGGTCGCTAATACCCCGTACGGCAATATCGGCGGGCTCATCTGCGGAGAGAACACGAACCCGCTGGCACGATACACTCTTATGACACAAAGGGAGCAGATTCATATCTCCTCATGGCCATGCATCTGGCCTACTCGAATGTTGGATGACCCTTCCGAGGCGGCGGGTAGTACCGGGGACGCTTCTGCTACTAGTACCGCTGGGTCGAACTACAACAATGTCCTGGCTAATCGTCTGCGCGCTGCTGCCCATTGCTTCGAGGCCAAGTGCTTTGGTGTGATGTGTAGTGGATTCCTTGATAAAACCACCATTGATACCATTGTCGCTGGAGCCAGTGACACGGCGCGGATTCGCCGGACCTTGGAGCTCTCACCGCGCGGCGTCACCATGTTCCTCGATCCCACGGGATCCCCGGTTCAAGGATTTACGGTGATGGAGTCGACGCAGGAGCAGCAGACACGGGAGTTTGTGCAGATGGAAGAAGCAGTATTGTATGCGGACTTGGATTTGGAGCTTTGCGTTGAGGGGAAGCAATATCACGATGTTGTGGGTGGTTATCAACGGTTGGATGTTTCTGATTTGCGGGTGGACCGTAGTCGGAGGGAACCGGTGGGATTTACTGATTGAAAGCCTCATGTGGAAATGAACGCTCCAAGAGAATGTAGGGAATGTGACACATGGCGTGTATCGCTTTCGGATTGTGAGTATATTAAACGTCTAGGTACTCATCTCTGGGTTTATCCAGTACACAATCCTTGCCCAAGCCTCAAATATAGACATTGTATCTACGAAGCATTGCTCAACTGCAGTCACAGCACGTCAGTGGCCCATCCGGAACCCTGTCAACGTAAATCCTGCATCGATCACCAGGCTTTCTCCATTGATAAAAGAAGCGCCGGGGCTACAGAGAAAAACAACCGCATCAGAAACCTCCTCTGGCATGGCGAGCCTCCCGAGGGGGCACAGTTTCGCAATTGCCTGCTCCAGGGTAGGAACGTTGCTGATGGTCTTCTGCATCATGGGTGTGTCAGTCCATGACGGGCATACAACATTGACGCGGATATGATGCTCAAAGTTGTCGGCGGCAGCAGTCTGCGCGATTCCAATGGTCGCATGTTTAGATGCTGTGTATGGCATCATGCCGGGCACTGAGATCAGGCCATTGATAGAGGAGAGCACGACGATCGACCCGCGGCCCAGAGTGCGGGTCGTGTTGCTGCGCGTGCTGGTGTACGAGCGCGGCTCCTGCAACGACATGGCCTGGGAGACGGCCCGCAGTACCAACATAGTCCCGCGGGAGTTGGTTCTCATGGATTGGTCGAATGCGTCGACGTTCAGGGTTGCGGTACGTGTACGCGAATTACCGGAGATGCCTGCGGAGTGGACGCAGTAGTCAATCCGTCCGAGCTCGCTGACAGCATGCTGGACCATGCTATCGACGCTGGCCTCATCCGTGACATCTACCTTTACCGATAGGGCACGAAAGTTGGGGTGGGAGGAGAACTTTTGACACTCTTGGAGAATGGGATCCGTAGGAAGGTTCAGGTCCGCCAGGAGGATTGCTTCGACACCGGCTTCAGCGAGGGCGAAGCAGACATCTTTCCCAATGCCTGATGCGGCCTGCAGATTGAGTACTCAGTCACGTTGGCTTGGGTTTAGCTTCGGTGGGTTCTTGATGTTATGGAGGTATGACAGGGACGGGTGACTTACACCGGTAACAAGAGCAATTCCACCATTCAGTCTGGTGCCCGCCATCAGAAGAAACGGAAGAAAATATTGTGTTGAAGTAGAAGCAACGCGTATAATGGTTTACCGTTGAACTGTGGGCGAAGGGAGGTTTTCCCTGCCTTTTGTGGCTCGGTTATTGGAACAGTGGGAGAGAAGAGAAGTGGTGGAGAGGGGGCGCGGTGGGGGGAGGAAAGCGCAGGGCACTAGTGCATCTTAGAGGGGGACTACAACAACTACTAGTATGTGATGGGAATGGAACTGAATGAGGGGAAGTCACGGTGGGGAACGGCTTAGTTTGATGCACCCTGGAGGCTGCGCCTTGCACTAATTACAAAGAAAGACAGAGGGACCCCTGTACACATACTGGTTCAGGTAAGGGCTCATTATTATAGCAGTAACAAATAGTATATTCATATCACTCCGCTCTTCGGAATAAAAGGCCGCTGACCCGCGATCATTTGAAATCCCACGCCGAAGTGAGTTTAACATCCAACCGACCCTAACTGAAACTAGCAACTCTCCGCCCATGCAGGCAATCAATAAGCCTTATCTCGTAGCAACCCAACACTAAGATCGACACACTCACATTCCCCAAGGAAGTTAGTCCAGCCTGGTGTCTGTTCCGCTGCGCTGCCTTACTCAACGCCTAGTAGTACGCTGTACTAACTACTGTTAGACGATGATTTGTTCCCTCTGCCACATAAGCACCGAGGCCAGCACCTGGCCCCCAGCAAAACCCGCCAAAATTTTCATCTCCAAATTGTAACTGGCCGAGAAGGTCCCTCGCACTAGGCTTTGTGCTGACGTTGGGAGATCGGAAAGACTCTCCGCGGAGTGCAGGACCAATTGCATCTCCGTCGGCGTCAGCCATTGCTGCAGGTGAGACTGGAGGTAGCCATTAGCCACCGCCGTCAGCACGGAAATTCCAATACAGCCGCCCATGACTCGGAACTGCGTAATGGCCCCCATGGCGACCGCATTGTCTCGCTTTTCGATCGTGAAGGGTGTCATCAGGATCAGCAGTGTAATGTTGATCCCACAACCGAAGCCGGCCAATACCTGGTATCCGTATTGTGCTGAGGTGATCGACAATGAGTCGGGGAGTGTGCCCAGAAGGACGTAAGCAACGACCTGAAGCAAGGACGCGAATATTACCAGGTACAGCAGCGGAACTTTGAACATCTTTCCGATAGCCGGTGCGAGGACGGATGCCACGGGACTTGCCACGGTGAAAGGGATGAACCGGACAGCTGCTTGGAATGCCGTAAGCTGATTGACGATTTGGAAGCGCTGGGGTAACTGAAACATCGTCGAAAACCACACTGCACCCAGACAGACGGAATTTCTTGGGCCGCCCGACACAACCAGTCAATGGGAACCCACATTGTCAACAGCAGAGAGAAAGAAGACTTACAACAGCATTCCGACCCAAACGCGGTTACAAACAAACCTCCACGGAAAGACCGGCTCAATGTGCTTGGAATAGAGTGTCACCCGTCTTTCCCACAGTAGAAAGGCAATCCATGCCAGTCCGGAGATGATGAGGAGCACAATGGTAAAAGCCGAACTCCATGTGTATTCCTGATTGGCTTCCTCCAGGGCCGTTACCAGGAGAATGGTTCCAACTAACAGCAAGCTGGAGCCTAGTAAGTCGACCCTCTGAATCATTTGCCGCAACGATGCCAACACGGATGACATTGTCTTCGCCTTGGATGGTTCGTTGTGATAGGGGAACCGGTTTGGCAGGACTAGAGCAAGCCCTATCCCGGCCAGTGCGCCCGGAGGGACATTCAACAGAAACACCCAGCGCCATGTCGACGAGTCCGAGATACCCCCTCCCATCAGAGGGCCGAAAAGGAGCGATATCGCGTATACTAGGGATAGTGAACTCATGTATGTCGCATATTTCTCCGTCGGGACCAGGTCTAGCAGAATCGCAGCACAGAGAGAGTAGTTGCCCGCTCCGCCAACACCCTGAAATGCACGAAAGACGATCCTAGCGCATCACCCCGTCATTAAGTATTAGTGGGCACGAAGAAGGTATGCCTACTTACAGTTGCTCCATGGTTTGGGCTGCGCCGCAAGCCCCTGAAAACACCACAAAGAGGAAAACAGCGACCAGCAAGCATGACTTGCGGCCAAATATGTCGCTGAACTTGGCAGAGATGTGACAAGCAGTCCGGCATATCCTAGCATATATGCTGTAGTAATCCAGTATATCTTATTTAGACCCCCCAATTCCCCGGTAATTCTAACCAAGGCGGTTGTCACGATTGGGATTTCCAGATTGGTTATAAAAAGACAAACGGCAAGACTGAATTGTCAGAACTTCCATTGGCACTGATAGTTTGATATTACATACGCAGCAGTAATTGTGTGTAACCTTGGGCCTTGAATTTGTGTAGAAGGGGGCATTTCTGCCTCCACCTCCACCTTGTATCCTGTTGCCATGACCTCACCTGATTTTCTGCTTCCCGACATATTGAAAAGGACTTGATAAAGAAAAGCACGAAGCAAAGGCAAGTATTGGTTAAGGAAAACAGGATGTGAAAAATTCCGACGAAGTATAGATCTGTGATATTCACCAGCACAGCCAGTGAGCTCAGCCTCAGAATGCCAATCAATGCAAAACTTAAACACTGCCAGCTTCTCATGAGAGATATAGACACTAATATAGTTATTATGCGCTGCCTACTAAGTATGTGATGAGTGGGGCAAGGCAAGGCTAAGGGGGGTCGCTACTGAGATGCCGCATTGACGCAAGAGGATGCACTAAGTCTTGCATTCGGACGCTCACAGGGGCTTATGGCCCTGGCAATGGGATACATATACAGGCACCAATGCCCGTATATTCTGTATTGACTTCAGAGCTTCCTCTATCTTTACACTCTCCTCAGGTTCTTCAAGTTCACTGCAGCCCGGACACCATGGTCGCCCTCACTTCGTCACAACGCGAAGCCATTCTTAATGGGCCAGCCGGTTACCCCCCTGCTGGGAAGACAGCTAACCTCACGGACCCGCCCAATATGCATACCATCGGGCGCATTGTCCACCTAATCCTCTTCATTGTGGCCTCTTTGTGCTTTATTATCCGTATATATACCAAAGCGTGTGTTGTACGACACGTAAGAATGTCTGACTGTGAGCATTGATATCTTTCAAGACCTCCGAAGCCCTCCCAGCAACCTCATATTGTCTCTTCTGACCTATGAAACAGATATGATGATCATTGCCTGGGTATGTAAATTTCAACACAGCAAAGTGTCTATCTAACTGGAGGCATTTGACAGCTCGGATTCATAGGGTACTTCGTCCCAGCTTGGTTACTAGGCAATGTCGCCCCAGGTGTCGACCAGTGGAATATGACCATGAGAGACTTCATTAAGATGCTATACGTGAGATTGCTTTCACCCCTTGATACATGAGGTTCATGTATACATTGAGCTGATCCTGCCTTGGCCCTTTGTCTCACTAGTACTTTCGTGTTGGGTCGGTCTTGTACGGGATCTGCATCTTTTTCATCAAAGCCTCCATCCTATTGCAGCTAGTTGAAATCTTCTGTCACCGAAAGGACACATTCTACTGGGTTTGCCATACCGTTATTTGGATCAACCTTCTGTTCTACGTGATTAGTACCTTTGTTGAGATCTTCTCCTGTCGTCCGATGGCGGCTGCGTGGGATGTTCTGATCTCCGGCAAGTGCATGAATGTCCGTCTACTAAATGTGATTGCCAGCTCAGTGAATGGTTTCTTCGACCTAATAATTCTGATTCTGCCTCAAACCCGCATCTGGCGACTTCAGATGGCTCTCCGCCGGAAGCTCGCTGTCTCAACCGTATTCCTATTTGGAATCCTGTACGTTTCCCCTCTGCCGCCGATTTAGTGCTTAGTATTCCTTCTCACATAAGCCGAGCAGAGCTTGTGCATCAGCTATCACGCGGCTCGCATATGCCGTACTATTATTTACGACAACCAACAACATTGCCTACTACAGCTACATGGCAGGCTTGTGGACCCTGCCCGAGTTGGTGGCTGGTATCATTGCGGGATGTCTCCCATCCTCCCCGAAGTTTTTCCAGAAGCTAGGCCAGAATAAGGTTATGTTGAAGTGGGGGAGCTCACTGCAAAACCTCCTGGTCAGTCGTGGTGGCCTTTCGCAGCGGCGTGGTCATGGGGGCGGCAGACTGTCGGGCAATTCTTACATGATGGAAGTTCCGAAGGAGGATAGCAAAATTAAGCAACAACAGGAGCATGAAGACTGCAAGCGCCATCGGCAGCGAAAAGGCCCACCGGACCAGTATCCGCTGACATCGTTCGCCAGTGCGCCGGGGACCATTGACCAGTCTACGAGTGACCTGTCTTGTAGCGCAGAACGGTTGGGGGAAAGGGTGTGATAAACTTCCTTCGTTGTGTGAGAAGAGTGCCTTCTTCTCTTCCCCTCTCCTGCATGTCAGAAATTAGTCGGCGTGTCGAAGTCATCCCACAATGCAACATCAGTGGCGGGGAGCATTCCCTGTAGACACCGGAGCCGTGAGTCGTCCGATTTCTGGGCATATATTCTAGGGGTAACCGTAAAACACTCGTCCTGATTTGTTCCTTTGTTTTCTTACGGTATGTGTGGGGGCCAAGCTGAACAGCTGTTCTTGTAGGATGGATAGCCGTTGGTCCTTGCGCCCACGAACTTAAGTCAGGGTTGCGGAAGGATCGTGGATCGGGCCGGTCTAGTTTTCAAGATGGCCAAAGGTCTGGAAAGCACCATGGGTTGAATCCTGGTGGCAGGGCTGAGGGGTATATTCGAACTATTTTGGGGCTGACGGAGCCTAGTTCATAACTCAGGGGGCTTTCGCCAATGAATTCGGATTGCGCACGGTATGGTGCGATCCTAACATGAATCCTGCGTAATAGCCGCCAAGAATGGAGTGGGGAGTAAAGTACATATTGTCCAAGCGATGGGATCAACAAAGCCCGGCTACTTAGTGCTTACACTTGAAACTATCTCTGCCCAGTCAGTCCAGCTCGTTGACAGCATTCCGCACTTGCATATTCCGTGCATCCCACCCCTACGAATGAACCAATGAGGCCTTGGGCTGATCATGATCGACAAGCCACTTACTTGGTAAGATACAAGTATTTTGTCCGAAAAGGCTGTGCATCCTATCTGCTGTAATCAGAAAGAGTCCAGATCTACAGTGTACCCTCCTTCATCATTAGATACATGATATGTACTGTTTGCTCGCTTACTCCTCACCTCCCGCCCTCGCAATCGTTCGCTTGATTGCCCGAAGGGACCTGGCCAGCGTGACAGGATCGCGTGCCCCTGGAATCTCATGTCCACCATCGTGCACGACGATCTCTCGATTCTCAGCCTTGCAACACCGGCTGAGCTCAGGGCCATAGCCCCATAGCGTGTCATTCCGCCCCCAAATGTGCGCAGTAGGGATTTCGATCATCCCCGACGGCACTTCGCTCTCACCTTCCCTCGCCTTGTCGCTGCCAATTGCTTCTGAATCCATTTCCGGCGCAACAATCCTCTCCAGAATCGGTCCCCCAAATAGCGCTGGTGCCCCGCAGAAGAACACGGCAAAGCGAAAGGGAAGCCGGTTGTTCGGGGTGCCCTGCTGCATTTTGTGCATCAGATAGCTGGCACCGCAGCCCGCGCCCAGTGAGAAGGCCAAAAGCCCATCGAACGGCTCTGTCTCCATGGCAAGGAACTCATCCATATCCGTTAGAACCTGCCGGCGGGTCTCCGCCGTGTCATCAACGTACATGAGGAACTCGTCGTCCGGCGCGACAAGGTCCTGCATCCCTAGCGGGGTTTCTCACGCTTAGCTCCGATATTGCAAGCCTGCAAGGCTACTAAGATAGGCCAGACCTGGTTCTGTGGCCCTTAATCCCGCCACCCGAAGAGGGGTACAGAAACTCATATGCCAAATTGGGATCTCACCTGGGGCCATTTCCGTCTTGATTGATCCGTCTAGCCATTCATAGCTGTGGTTGTCTCCTAGACCTTGGCGGATAGCAGCTGCTGGCATTAGACTGTTTAGCCGGCTTCTCAGACTAGGATAACACAGCCCCCTCTCGTGGTATAGGGGGGTCTGGCAGGTGGCAGCGTACCGGTCTGTAGCTCGAAGATCTGTTCCTCGCGCCGTCAGCTTTGGGTCCTGCCACCGTTGTAGGCCCTTCTGCTAACCATCACTTACTCGGCTATTAGTGCCCATACCATGAAGACAGAGAAAACGCATTCTTGTTTTCGTTATATCTGTTCACTTCCAAAGCGAAATGTCACGATGGTAGAGGTGCTGTTCTTATGCTTATGAACAGGCGACCAGGGGTATAGAGTGGCGGGGAGGCAGAAAACAATAGAGCTGCCGGCCTACTATCGGCTCCTCTAGTTCCCTTATATGCAACCACAGTGGGTAGTTTTAGCCTGATACTGTACAAAACGCACTAAGGCCATCAGGGTAATTGTATCACTCCCGGCGCGATCACATCTAAACCTCCACATTGTCCCTTGGTCAATCATCGGATCGTCAGAAGAACCAATAGGGTAGAGATATCCCGGGCTTCTGCTTTGGCAGTAGCTGCGGAATTGTAGCTTTCCTCCGACCCCTGGTTTAATTCATTTCCCAGAAGCCTTGTGCTTACGAGTCCGGAGTATACACCAAAGATGTCTTGGTTGATTGTCGTGCTATGGTCATCCGGAAGTCCGAGAACCGCCCCCCGCCCCCCTTGGAGAGGAGATCAAATTTGTAGTACTAGTGGGGCTGTGTTGTGTTAGAGGTATTTAAGCATAAACAATATTGTTGTGGATATACTTCTCTTGCAACGCAACCGTCTTGTGTGAAAACATAAACACCTTACCTGACCTCTACCAATTGCGTACCCCTCGAAAACACAAACTGTGAATAGAAGGTCTTGTGCACCATGCAAGACATCGCAATTGTGGGATTCTCCATCAAATTCCCTGGTGATGGTGACACACCGGAGGGGTTTTGGTCGATGCTAGCAGAAAAGCAATGTGTTATGGAGAAATGGCCGGCAGAACGGTTCAATCTGGAGGCTTTTGCTAGCCGCAGCTCCAAGGTGAATCCATCTACGGCCCTCCCACAATTTCCTATCCCTGCTCCTATATATCTGACTGCGGGTTACAGGGTTTTGTTCGAGGTGCACATTTTATGAAAGAAGACTGTGGATTGTTCGATGCCCCCTTTTTCGGCATCTCGGGGACCGAAGCGTGTGCCATGGATCCCCAAGCTCGCCTATTGCTGGAGACTGCATATCGGGCGCTGGAGAATGGTATGTTTGATACGATTTTGTCTTTGGATGCATATAACCCAACACTAGCTGATGGTTGTCGATATAGCTGGGATACCAATGGAGGACGTGAAGGCTACGAAAACCGCGGTCATCAACGGCTGCATGGCCGACGACTACAGGCACATCATTGCCCATGACCCAGATGTTATCCCAAAGTACACAGCAGTAGGATCTACGGCCTGCATGCTCGCCAATCGGCTAAGCTGGTTCTTCGACCTCCGGGGCCCCTCGGTAAACCTCGACTCAGCCTGCTCCAGCAGTCTGATGGCGTTGGATCTGGCGTGCCAGAGTCTGCGGAACGGGGACTCTAACATGGCCCTGGTGACCGGTTCTAACATTTTGATTGGCATCGAACCCATCCTTTCCCTCATGAACATGAGTTTCAACTCACCCGACGGTCGATGCTTTAGCTTTGACACACGTGCCAATGGATACGGTCGGGGTGAAGGAGTGGGTGTTCTGGTAGTCAAGAGGCTAGAGGACGCGGTACGCGATGGAGACATCATCCGCGCTGTGGTTCGGTCCACGGGGTCGAACCAGGATGGCCATACGCCAGGCCTAACCCAGCCGAGTAAAGATTCCCAGGCCCGCTTGATACTGGATACATACCAGAAAGCCAAGCTGGATCGCCTGGAGACGAGATTTTTCGAAGCGCATGGTAAGCTCTGTTCAAAGCGATATGCAACAGGTCCTACCTGAAAGGATGTGGCTGACTTGCTATGTTTGCGGTTTAACAGGGACTGGTACGGCGATAGGAGACCCTATCGAGGCTGAGGCCATTGGAAGCGTTTTTCGAGCCTTTCGCTCCCCGGTGGATCCTCTGTACATGTGAGTCATACTTATATCACTGTCGGAGCAATTAATAACAACTTCAAACAGAGGAGCGGTGAAATCCAACATTGGACATCTCGAAGGAGGCAGTGGCATTGCTGGCATTGTCAAAACCATTCTAGTGCTAGAAAAAGGCCTCATTCCCCCTAATGCTAACTTCGAACAATTGAACCCCAGCATCGATGCCGAGTTCCTCAATTTAAGGGTTCCCACTGAGCTCATTCCGTGGCCAACGAAGGGGCTACGACGCGCCTCTGTGGCCTCGTTCGGCTTCGGGGGCTCGAATTCCCATGCCATTCTTGATGACGCCTATCACTATCTGCTCGAGCGCGGGCTGCTTTCCTCGGCCTCCCACTGCACTGTTATGCACCCTACCCATGGCGGCATCAACGAGAAAAGGCTTTGCAGACCGGCAGTAGATGCCAAGGGATTGGAGGTTTCTCCTGCTTCACCGAGCTCCGAGCGAAAAGCGGCAGAGACATTGTCATCGCAACTTCTCATCTTCTCCACCTCAGATGAAGCAGGCATCCAGCGATTGGCCAATGCTTATGCGCAGTACTTTACAAGTCTTCCATCATTTCGCCGCGATCATGACGAAGAATATTCCTTTGTCAAAGAACTAGCTACGGTGTTAGCGCAAAAGAGAAGCAAGCTTAATTGGAGGTCCTTTGCTGTGGCTGATGGCTCACTTGGATTTTTACGGGATCAACTGCCGTCTGCCATATCGAAGCCAGTCCGTGTCAGCGAAAGCAGATTGTTGGGGTTGGGTTTTATATTTACAGGCCAGGGAGCACAGTATCGGCAAATGGGAGTAGATCTCCTTAAGTACCCCATTTATCGCTTAACCATGGACCAATGCCAAGAGGCCTATAGCAGCCTTGGAAGCGAATGGTCGATTTACGGTCAGTGCATTCCATTTTATAATAAGTCCTCTTGGTCTGCCCTAAACCTTTTGAGGCCTGGACTGGGCAGCTGATACATGTTTCTATTATCCAGATGCTCTGCTCAATCCTCACAATACATTGGATATCAACGATCCAAAATATGCGCAGCCCCTCACTACTGCTTTGCAGATAGCTTTGGTGGAGCTGCTTGCCTCTTTCGGGTTGACGCCACGAATGGTGATCGGTCACTCCTCAGGTGAAATTGCCGCCGCGTATGCGATAGGCGCCTTATCGTTGAACTCTGCCTGCAAAGTGTCGTATTTTCGAGGCATCTTTGCCAGCCGTCTGCGTAATGAGGCCAAGATTGCCACCAGGAGCGCAGGAGCCATGCTGGCCGTAGACCTTTCTGTTTCTGATGTGGAACCTTACCTAGACCGCGTCAGATCAGAGCTAAATATCGACGACATTCACGTTGCATGTATCAACAGTCCGAAAAATGTGACAATATCCGGGGATACAGTCGCAATTGATCATTTCAGATCCATTCTGGACAGCGAGACAACGCCAACTATCGTATCGCACGCCTTACGGACAGGGGTGGCATACCATAGTCCCCAGATGCGGCAGGTTGAGGCAGAGTATGAGCATGCACTGGCTGATCTGAGGTCGCAACCTGACGTTCATGGCCCAGGTTCAGCAGGGATAACGATGGTTTCGTCTGTGACTGGCATGGAGATCGCAAACACGGCCATTTTATCGACTGCAAAGTATTGGGTAGAAAATATGGTGAGTCCGGTACAGTTCTCTGCCGCTATGGTCTATGCACTCTCCCAGTCGTTGGTGCGCAAGGGACGCCAGCAAAGACCTAAAAGGCTGGGCGCCGTGACACGCACTGTTGTTGTCAGTGACTGGATCGAAATCGGGCCGCACAGCGCCCTAAAACGGCCCTTCCGTGAGAATCTAGATTGGGTTGAAAAGAAGACTCAGAGCCCGGTAGTCCGGTACTCCAGTGTTCTTGAACGGCATAGCCCGGCCACTCAATCTCTCCAGACGATGGCAGGCAAATTGTTTTCGCTTGGTTACCATCTAAATTTTGGAGAGATCAATCAGACCCATAAAAGGACAGGGTGGGGCTTTGAGGGCGTCATCACCAACCTTCCTGAGTATCCCTTCAATCACACCAAGCGGTACTGGTTCGAACCAGAAGCGACGAAGAACATCCGACTCCGGCCACATAAGAAGCACGAGCTGGTTGGAGCTCCGTTTCCGGATTCCACGCCACTGGAGAGTCGGTGGAGAAAAATGTTTGATGCAACCGAAACCCCATGGCTACTAGACCATGCAGTGAATGGCAAGGCCATCTATCCAGCCACGGGCATGATCGTCATGGCCATCGAAGGGGCCCAGCAGTTAGCCGAGAAAGGAAGAATAATCTCCGGATACTTCTTACATGACTCCGTCTTTCTGAACCCTATAATCATCAGGCCAGGCGGCGACAAGACCGTGACGCATCTGCACATGAGGCCCTCCCGTCAGACCCAAGAGCAATTGTCTCATGCCTATGACTTTCAAATCTACACCGAGGTGGGTGGTCGGTGGCAGACAAACTGCCGCGGGCAGATTTCAATCCAGTATGAGGGTAAATCCACCGGTGCGACCGCGGCGGAGCAACAGCAACAGCAGCAGGTGACAAGGGCGGATACCGTAGCTCTGCAGTTAAAGCAAGAGGAGGCCTTCTACAAAGAGCAATGGGAAACCGCTCGCCGGGAGTGTCACATGCACGTACCTACCAGCAAGATCTACAAGTCATTTCAAGGAAATGGACTGCACTATGGACCATCCTTCCAAGTTATGGATGATCTCCAGTGGGGGGGATCCAATATATCGATCGGGACAATTAAGCCCTTCGAGTGGAAGGCAGAGCAGTCCGAGAATGCTCCAGAGCCGCACATGGTTCATCCCTCAACACTGGACGGTCTCGGTCAGCTAGGATGGGTGGCGCTAACGCAGGGAGGCGAGAAACTCGTCACCACAGGTCTAGTTTCCACTCGGGTGCGTGAGGCTTGGATCTCTGGCGCTGGGGCTTCCGCAGAGCATATTGACACCCTGCATGCTGTGGCGCACAGCCGGTTCAAGGGTCTGCGAGGCACGGACACGTCCGTATATGCCATCGACAACGGGGGTAAATTGCGGCTGTGGATCTCCGGCATGGAGACGACCTCCATGTCTAGTAACAACGCGCTGCTGGGAGAGGCACATCGGAGAGACCTATGCTTCTCGATCGACTGGAAGCCGGATTTAACTCTGATGGATCGGGAACAGCTACGGGAATACTGCGGTCAAGGCCCATTCCACGGAGACATAAATGGCGCTGGAGTCAGAACCACCGATGGGTTCGATTGTGAAGGAGAGACGGATTATCTACTTGTGCAATATACACGCCGAACCGTGGAAAGGTATGCAGACCACCAAGCTAAATCGGATCTGCCTGTGCATCTGCAACGGTATGTCGAATGGCTGGAGCGTACGCTTGCCACCATGACCTATGATACTCTACAAGACCCGCCGGACATCAAGACCCTAGAAGACCGCGTGTTGAACCAGACTTCGGCGGGACACTTGTACGTCACTTTCGGAAAGATGCTGGAATCAATTCTTGACGGGGCTGTTGAGGCAGCCCCAATCTTGCATGGACAACAAGGAACCCCGAATCATGCCGCTGTTCAGCATCGTCAACTCCTCTGCGACAAGATCTTAGAGGACAAGGCTCTGCACCGTTACATTGATCTATTGGCCCACAAACACCCGCAAATGAGACTCCTAGAAGTCAACGCCAGCACCGGCTCCCTAGCCGCACCATTGATAAATGCTTTGACACACCGTGGTTCAGATGGAACCGAGACGCAGCGCTTCTCACTCTACGATTACACTGACAGATCAGATGCGTGTCTTCAAGAAGTACCAGAGCGCTTGGCCGCACTGGGGCGTAAAGTTTCATACAGAGTACTTGACATCGATCAAGACCCAGCAGCGCAAGGATTTGAACTTGCTAGCTATGACGTGGTCGTGTCCGCATGGGTGAGTTTTCACGTCGAGGGCTTCCTACTCTGTCCGGACAGGGCACTAACGGTCAGCTAACCAGGTCTCTGGCCATGTCCGAGGCCTTACTTCCTTTGTTAATAATGCTCGGAAACTACTCAAACCGTGAGTAAGCCTGTCAACCATAGAATGATGTCTATAGTATTGATTGTTGTTTCACAGCGGAGGCACACTCCTGATCCTCGACATGGTCCGAGAAGATTCATTGAGATCGGGCTTTGTATTTGGGACCTTACCGGAGTGGTGGGAAGACACATGCTCGGTACAAGGCTGGGACAGCCTGCTCGCCTCCAATGGCTTTTCGGGAGTTGAAATCTCGTTTTCGCAAGATTTGGGGAGCAGTCTTATAGCTACGAAAGTGACAAGCACTATCGCCAGGGACTATAGTCCTCCCAAGCGGACTGTCTTCATCATTGATCCTCAATCCCACTTACAAGCCCAGGTAGTGAGCTTGCTGTCAGATATGTGCCTCAGCGTGGGAAACACCATCGAGGCTTGCTCGCTCGGGGACATAGACACCTTAGCGACTTTTACGGATGCTACCCTGGTGGTCATGCTCCCTGAAATAGAACAGCCTTTCCTGGTCGATCTGAATGAAACCACTTATGGGGCCCTCCACAGCCTCCTCAATAAAGCCCAAGAGGTCGTTTGGGTTACTGCAGGAATTGAGCAATCCCCAAACGCACCTCGGCGTCACATAGTGGATGGCCTAGCGAGAGTGCTGTGCACCGAGAATGATCGACTCTCCTTCATCACCGCGCACTTGGACGACCATGTCGCTAACCCTGCTGTGTGGGCAAAACATATTTATCAGATCATGAGCATGAGACTCGCACCAAATGCTACCAAGGCCAGTGAGCTCGATTACCGCGAGCAGGATGGAGTCCTGCACATCGGCCGCGTGGCTGAATCCGAAGAATTGAACGATGCTCTGTTTGAACAAACACAGGCTCCGCCTAAGTTGCGTCCTTTCAAACAATGCCTTCCACTGACCTGTACGATCGCGAACCCGGGGTCAGTGGAAAGCAAAGCAATGCTCTTCGTTGAAGACACCGGGGCCATCGAACGCCCACTCGGTGATGAAGAAGTAGAAATCGAGGTGAAAGCGGTGGGCGTCAACTTTCGCGATATCTTTGTCCTGCTGGGCCGGCTCCCTGATGGCGACAGCATTGGTACAGAATGCTCGGGTATTGTGACCCGGGTGGGTGCAGCAGGAACGTCGGACTTGAAGCCAGGAGACCGGGTCTGCGCCGTCCTCCCCGACTGTTTCCGCACCCTAGTTCGTTGCCATTACCAATTTGTTTCGAAGATCCCGGATACCTTGAGTTTTGCCGCGGGTGCAGCAATTCCCCTCGGAGGTGTGACTGCATATCATTCCCTGGTGCAGATCGCACGGTTACGAAAGGGAGAGACAGTGCTCATTCACTCAGGAGCCGGGGGTACCGGGCAAATGGCCATCAAAGTCGCACAATCTCTGGGGGCCAAGATCTTCGCCACGGTCGGCTCAGACGACAAACGAGACTTGCTCGAGCGGCTATATGGCATTCCCAAGGAGCATATCTTCTACAGTCGAGACACATCATTTCAGCGACATGTCATGCGATTGACTGGGGGCCGTGGTGTGGATGTCGTGGTGAATTCGCTCTCCGGCGATGGCCTCATTGCCTCGTGGGAGTGCGTCGCCCCGTACGGACGGTTCGTGGAACTGGGCAAGTCCGATGTTCAATCAAACTCCAAGTTGCCAATGCGCAACTTCGGGCGTAACGTCTCCTTCTCGGTGGTAGCCATCGACCAGATGCATTATGACCGACCATATATCATCCAGGAATCTCTGGGCCCGGTCGTTGAGATGGTCACGGATGGCACACTGCAGCCCGCCTGGCCACTTCAGGAATTCACCCTCTCATCGGCAGAGGAAGCATTCCGTTTGATGCAGAGCGGCAAAAATGTGGGCAAGCTGGTGATCAACATGACTCCCACCGACCTCGTACAGGTACACGTTCCCCCCTCCAGACCCTTGCAGGCACTAACGGCTTGAAATTTATTCTAGACGTCTATCCGACATGTTCCGGCATATTCATTCCCGCCCGAGGCAACATACTTGATTGCTGGTGGACTCGGAGGCTTAGGGCGAAGCGCCGCTCGATGGATGGCATCCATGGGGGCGAAGAATCTGATTCTGCTGTCTCGGTCAGGTCCCAAGGCAGCCGCGGCACAGGAGCTCATTCGGGAGCTCACCGATCAGGGAGTTCGCGTCCGGGCTCCCCGATGTGACCTGACATCTTCCGAGGCTTTGACTCGGGCTCTGAATGGGTGCAGGGACCTGCCTGGGATTCGAGGGTGTATCCAGGGAACAATGGTCTTGCAGGACACGATCTTCGAACGGCTGACCTTCAATCAGTGGGATGCTACTCTTCAGGCCAAGGTGAAAAGCACGGAGAATCTGCACGCGCAGCTCCCTGCCGATCTTGACTTCTTCGTTCTTCTATCCTCGCTATCTGGTGTCATTGGCCACATTTCACAAGCCAACTACGCAGCGGGAAATACCTTCCAGGATGCATTTGCGGCTTATCGTCGGTCTCTGGGTCAGCGCGCGGTCGCGCTCGATCTGGGATGGATGCGCGATATTGGAGTTGCTGCTGAGCAAGAACACTTGGCCATGCGTGTGGATGCTGCTCCCAGTATGGCGGGGATCAGCGAGGCCGAGTTCCTGGCCCTCCTGGAGCGGTGCTGTGATCCCGCGGCGGAGACAGTCACCACGACCATTGGCAGCAAGCCACAGGTTCTCGTCGGAGTGGTTACACCGGCACAGCTTCGGGCTCACGGCCACGAGACACCAACATGGCTGACCGAACGCAGCATGTTCCAAACCCTGCGACAAGAATCATCGGGGCCAGGGGAGGCCGAAAGCGCAGAAAACAGTCTCATCACCCCGGGCGGCGAAACCTCACCCAGCTACTGGCACCGGACCTTTGCGCGAGCAGAGTCTTCCTCGGCCGCAGTCACCGTGGTGATCGAAGGGTTAACGCAAAAACTGGCCCGGTCGTTGAGTCTGACGTCGCCATCTGAAATCGACCAGCAGCGCTCACTAGCTCTACAGGGGGTGGACTCGTTGCTGGCGGTCGAGATGCGCCAATGGATCTCGCGGGCCTTTGCAGCCGAGGTTTCGGCGCTAGATATCACGAGTGCACCGAATCTGGAGGAGTTGGCCGGAATGGTGGTTGCGTATAGCGAGGTGAAATTCGATTGAGAGGCTCTTTTCGGTGGAAACCCCTTGGCATTAGTTCATTGCATATTTTTCTCATTTATTCATTCATTTATTCATTCAATATGACAGTGGCTCATCTAACCCGCTTGACGAATGGTATTTGCAGAATCTTTACCGCTTCTACTCGGATGGGCCAGGCATCAATAGTAGCCTGAGGCACTAGATAAAGCCTGGAGCTTTGGCAGTTCAACCCCAATTTTCCCTTGGAGGAAGTGAAGGTAATCAATCCTACAAGGCTATCCTTATAACACCTTGGAATTCATCCCTTCTATAACGCCATCGTACCGTTCTAACCCATCTGAAACAGAGTAGAACTAGTAATACTGGTAGTAGTAACTTAGTATCATTAACGTCGGTCGGTGTGCCGAACAGATGGTTGTAGCAACATTATTTTATATATTTACCCGTCGACCCCTAGTTAGTACTTAGTCGTAGCATTAGTAAGTACTTGCAGAATTCCAAGCGTTTAGATTTGGTGGGTTCGCTGAAGTTACAACATTCATAACTAATAAAGAGTACTAGAGTATATTGTATATTTTTTTTTACTTTTTTTTACCTTTCTTATTTTTTTATTTATTTGATTTCTAAAAAGAAGGGCGCAATATTTGCATTGCTTAGAGACATCGATGGTGAGACCAAATCATCTTCTAACTCGAGTAAAAAGGACAATTCCCGAACTCAACATAGTTGAGGTGCGGAAGTTGTGAGCGGCGGTTCGAGTCGCTTCCCGAACGCTTTTTTTAGTCATTTGTCCGATCGGGTCAACTACTGAGTCGGACTTAAGCAGATCGGGCGGAAGCATCGGCAGTCGGACATTGACTGAACCATGAACGCATACATCGGACCCTAACCAAGACCCCTCAATCATGTCTGGAATAGAATTGCGCCCGAAAATGATAAATAATAAAGAGATAAAGGGAAATCAAGCTGTTTCAGAGCCTTTATATTCTACAAGCATCAATAAAATCTTTTTTTCCTTTCACCATGACCGGCCAACCTCGCATGAAGATCGCTCTGATCGGCCTAGGCCGTCTGGGTGCCATTCGCGCCCGAATTCTGGCCTTCCAGCAACCTCGCATTGAGCTTGTCGCTGCCTGCGATACAAAACCCGGGGCAGATGAGTGGGCAGCGACAAATTTGCCTTCGTCAGTCAAGTTCTTCGATGACCCGGAGGACTGCATGAAGAATAGCGGTGCGGAGGCTGTCTTGATCTCGACAGCCACTGCTACCCATGCCCCGTTAGTCCTCAAAGCACTTGATATAGGCCTGGTGAGCTTACAAGCAACTGTTTACTCATTTGAAATTGATGTCTAACCCGCGATCAGCATGTGATGTGTGAGAAGCCCATCTCGGTAGATGTCATCACTACTGAGGAGGTCGTCGCCAAAGCCGCTTCCAAGCCTCATCTTAAGTTCTTGGTGCCCTTCTGTCGACGGTGTGAGTCAAGCCTTTGAATTTCCGTGCTAAACGTGAAGGCCTATCGACTAATCCAGAACAGATGATGATTCGTATCTTCAGGCGAAGCAGATGGTCATGGATGGGTCACTCGGTGATATCCACGCGGTCGAGAGCTCTTGCATTGACCAGCAGGATCCTACAGGTGAGCTTTCTTTCAAACAACCACCGACAGTCTAGTGAGCTCTAACCGTCTTACATAGGCTTCTTTGTGAAATTTTCCGAGCAGTCTGGAGGTATATTTGTTGATATGGGGGTCCACGATGTCAGTCATATTTCCATTATTACTTAGTCCCTGCAGGGCTCAGTTGCTCACACCGCACAGATCGACATTGGTAGATACTACCTGGATGTCAAGTCGGGCCTCACCAACCCCAAGAAACAGGTCAACAGAGTCATTGCCATGGGTCAACAGGCTGTCTATGGCGAGCTTGCCAAGTATGGCGACTGCGACAACGGATGGGGTCTGGTAGAATTCGCCAACGGCAAGATCCTCACCTTCCACTTGGGCCGCACTCTCACCAACGGCTTCGAGGGGATGACTCGCGTGTGCGGGACTAAGGCCCACTCGGTCATCAATGCAAACTCCACTATCAATCGTGTTGAGATTCGTGATTCGCATGGTGTGCGTACGGCTACAACCCCAGATGCTTTCGTCCTCTACGATAAATCGTTCATCAAAGACTTGGAAGAGTTTGCGGCCGCGGTTCTTGACGGCGAGCCTCTCACTTGCGCCCCCGAGGATGCCTATGAGACGGCTAAGATTGCCACTGCTCTACAGTACTCGTTCCGCAATGGCGTACCGGTATACTTTGACGACAATGGTCTGCCTATCATGGAAGTTGCGAAGGACAAGGCCTAGTGTTTTACATATAACTCCAGTCGGTAAAATAGACTAATAGTTTCCTTGGTCATCTTGTGCAAGTCTTACTTCTGCTGGCCACAAAGCCCATAGATAGAACTGTAGGTGTGATACATATGCATTCTGCCTTGCATTGGCAGCCTTTCAAAGGTTACCACGAGGCCTATGTAGACGGGACATTTCGCATTTTAAAGTTAGAGTAGACCTAATATCCCAGCAAATTTTAAGATGGACTTCAAGTTGAAGGGGTGCATAAGCTTCTGGTCTTGCGAACAAACCTATAGGTGTGTAGCAGAACCCTGAGTGGCGGCATCGGGATGTTTAAAGGCCTTTGGCTGTAATTTCTGAAGCTTTGAAATATGATACTGCCTAAGGGATACCTTTTATCTATCATGGTAAGTCAAGACAATACGAGCATCGTATTACACTTGTTAAGAACATATTTGTTTGGAACGAAATTTGACTCCACTACTAGAGCATGCCAAATGGTTGTAGTGATCCGACCTCCCGACGGAGGAAAGTTAGAGAGACTCGGCTCGGGAGTCATCATCATATCTGCCTACTCCACTGGAATGCCTCCCAAAATATCCTGCAGCAGCATTGGATCCCAAAAGTCTTGTAACTGTGTGGTATGTGTCAGTTCGAACAATGGGCGTACGCTGGGATAGTGATGCTCACAAGTTCGTTTGTCGAGTCGGGGGTCACCATAGGAAGGGATGAGCCTGGGATCATGATATTATCTCCAAATCCCAGCTCACCTTGAGGGGCTCTGTGAATATGCCCATGCGGCGATGTGTTCGAGACATCAAAGCTCTCATGAGAATCGGTCGGCGTCTCAGCAAGCTGAATAGTGCGGATAGTCGGACGACCTTGACCAGCCCGTTCAATCAACCTGGTCCGCCAACCGAGCAGCTCGACATCCTCACTATCCTCTCTGTCTTCTCGACTAATTTCCTGCCTGTCCGGATCGCCCTGGTCTCGCTGCGAGTCGGCCTGTTGGGCGGCGGTAGACGCTGTGGCAATTTTGGACGATGCCCGAGCGCGCAGTTTCGAAAGCCACTGCAGATTACGGCAGTATCTCGGAGTGTTGGCGCCGTGCTGAACCAAAGAAGTGAATAGATTGATCGCGGCATCAACCTGCGTAAGAGCAAAAGTAGCCATTGAATTCTTGGGATCGCGCAACACCAACGTCCCTAAGCAGAGAGCCGAACCAAACACGTGATACTATTGTGCCATACACCATCAGATATTATGGTCTCTCATTGACAAAGGAAATGGTTTCTCCTACCCAGAAATTCCATTGTCTGGTGCTGACCGCGGGAAAGCGGGTATGAATGTCGTCAACAATAGCAATGATGATCTACCAATGTTAAGCAGAGATCATAATTGGACAGCCTAAAGGATGGCCTTACCCCGCAACGCTCGATCACTGTGAGAAATGAGGGCGCATATATGGATTTTGTACGTTCGTTGATGTCGTAGAGCGCCTTGGCATAATAAGGCCGATGTAAATTGATTATCGTCTCCGATATGTTAAGTGCAAGATTAATTTGCTGATTCGATCAGCAGACGCACGAATGGAGGGGATGGGCAGACAAACTTGGAAGGATATGGTCATTGACCTCCGGGATGGTTCTGGTGATGCTTCGATTGCCGCCTGGACGTGGGGATACCGAGAGGGCATGGACAGGAACGCTGCTCGACAACGAAGGGAGAAGGGAAGGTTGCGCTCAAAGTCCGCCCTCGGTAGGGTTAGCATGCGAATATATTGCAATTGTCGAACAGGAGGACGTACAGCCTAATATCTAGATCGGTGACAGCAGAGTACGGTGGTTTCCGTACTTTCATGGCCATATGGAGAATTCTTCAGCCTCATTAGCCCCGAAGCAATAACAAACAAAGCAGGGTTGGGTAACAATGAAGTACACACTCGGAAGAAAGCTGAGATAGCTCGAATCGTAGTCTCGAATAGCTCTTCTCCTGGCTTACATGGAGCGGCTCGGCAGGGAATTCGACGTCGCAATGCTCAGGATTAATCGCGCACCTGACCGACATCAGAACTGCAATAAGCCTACAGGCGATATCCATACGGCCTCGAAAAGCAATGAGCCTGAAAGGTATCGGCAGCATTCAGCTCCCAGAAGACCTTGCGTCTCTCCTCAATCACATCTTGAGAGAGGTTCCAGCGGGCACCGTCCCGGTGCATACCCATCTACAGATGGACCCATTAGATGCTGTCGTCACATCAAGGAGCCATGCTTACCGCTTGGACTAATCGCATGACCAGTCCCCACAGAGGCCAGGAATTGTCACCTCTTCCGCCTTTATCCAGTTGTCTACCCCAGATGTTAGGCTGAAGAAATTACGCAACGAAGGGGTTCCTATACAAATGCAGATGCGCCATCAAATGCTAGCAAATATTAGTAGCTGATCGGGCGCGATTAACTGAAGACTTACTAAGGTCTGGAGACCGGCTACCATGTTATTTGAGAGGAAGCGTCCTTTGACCAGAGCCAGCTCCGAGAGGTGTAGCCAGTCTTCGGTTGATGGATCGTAGTTGGGCATCTCAATATTGAACAAGGTGCCCTGAGCCAGGATGATAAAAACGAGTGCAATCTCCTGTGGATTGACTTGTGGGGATAAAGACATCCCACTTGAATTTGCGTAGACTCGGTCAAATGTCTTATCGAAAGTGGCTCTGGGAGCCACATCATGACTAAACCTTTGTCAGGGCCATCTTTCGTACTGGGTCTCCGACACTCACTGCCAAGCACAGTAGCGATAGTACGACGCAACCAATGTCTCCGCCTCCTCTCTTGGCGGCAGGCGGGAGAGCAGTTCGCGAGTACTGATATGAGAGGCTGCAACGTTAAAAGGAAAGGCGATGGGAGCAGTACCGGGAGTTAACCGACCAGGCTGAGATCGAATCGGTTCTTGGATTATTTTGGGAGAAGGAGCGCGAGTAACCGGCGGACTGTCTGATATGTCTTGTGTTTCGGACTACCATTTATACTCTTAGCGGACTGAGTGCCGTTCCAGCAAGGAGACGTACTTCTTTCAACCATTCACTGCCCGCAGTCGGTCCCAAGTATTTTGACCGACCTCCTTTGCCCAACATCAATGTGCCGTAGGAGCCGCTCTGTTCACCCACCCCGAGAGGCTGTGCGGCGGAGTTGTGGAGGCCAATATCCTTGCCTGAATCACCGTGGCCAGCCAGAGGATTTCGGCTTGTGAGCACCGGAGGAGAGTTCTGTAAGGAGTCGGACTGTAGCACATGGGCGAGGAGGGCAAGTTGTTCATCCCGTCTGCCGCTATGCTGCGGCGGCAGGTTCCGACCCGGATCGTCCGCGGAGCCCTGCGCAGCGACGATAGCTTGGCCATGATTGTGATGCTGGGAGAAGTCATGTTGTGGTAGCAATTCCCATCTTTGTCTGTGGTGAGGGCCAGATTCATGGGTTGCAGGTGAAAGGCGAGTAATTCCGTCCGGGGATTGCGAGGGCTGATCATGCCCGGCAGCCTGGCGCGGTCTTTGGTGCACCTCAGACTCTCTGCTATGATACTGACTCAGCTGGTGACAGACATGAACGCAGGGATAACGAGAGAAACACACACCGTGACGGTGTTTGGTCGGTTATCCCCGGATTACAGAACGGGGCCCGGCCTCGACGGACACAGTTGGAGCATGGCACTGCAATCTTCTTTCAGCCGGGAGAAACACTCCAGACGCCAGATTAGCTTGTTTACTGACCCTGCCGGTCGCATTTCATTTTCAGCCGGCGGCATTCTGACAGCCCTAGCGTTAGCCATTGCGTGACCGCTTCTGAAGCAGCCCATACTGCAGGGCTTGGATGGCACCAACCTGCGCAGCTGAGAGAGGGCCGTTGTCTCCTTTGTTTTTTGGGCGGCCCCTGCGTGTCCCCGGCCTCGTTATTCCGGCGCGGAGAACCAGCGCCTCTGCCCGATGCGTGGGAGAGGTCCGATCCTGGCTGTTTGACCATCATGCCATGGGAATCGGACGATATGATGGAGGAGATTGGAGTGGATGGGACAAACAAAGCGCCCGGAGTCAATTCATCCAGAGACACAGGCAAAAGTCGTCGGCATCGGGTGGACGGGCTTGATTATGTCCGGTCATGTGACCAGAACTATATCCGACGCCCCAATCACCCGTTTATCTCCGGTCACCTGGATGGAAGCATGCAGCAGAGCTGTCTATTGAAAAAGGGCACGAGAGTAACTGCAGCGACATGTAGAGAAATATGGAAAGGATGCTTATCTTGTCAGCGTCTGGTACATTCCCAAGGTTCTCTTTACATCGATCGCAATGGCTGTCACCATGCATGATTCTGTCCTGGACAGCAGCAAAGCCAACATGACCGATATCAAGGCCGAAGCCGTGGTTAAGGAGCTGGAATGCCATCCCTCAAAGCCTCCGGTCGACGACAACTTTATGTACGACTTCAAATATAATCATGTCTTGCCCAGTTCAGATGTTTTGGGGATCGAAGTTCCCACGGACTGCGATGCTCAAAGGGAAGCCGAAGACATCGTGGCGCGGCTGTCGCAGACCATGGGAGCTGGGGATGCTCAGGCATTTGCTGAGGTGTTCCTTCCATATGGTGAGCTTTACTTTTACGAGCCCGTGCAGGCATCCCTTAACATGTCCTTCTCATACAGGAGTTTGGCGGGACAAGTTGACCTTCACCTGGGATTACCGCACTTTCAATTTTCACCCGGCAATCTTCAAGGCTGCGACGGACCTTTTCCCTAAAACGAAAGCCACCAACTTCAAATTCCTCACCCCGGCTCCGACTATTTCCCGGCCCTATCCGGACTTTGCTCAGCTGCAATTCGTCGTGTCCTTTGAGACTGAAGTCGTGCTTTCTTCAGCCGTTATCAATGCGGTCTTCACTCGGGAGGGGTGGAAGATTTACACAATGCACACGGTTGCAGAGAAGCTGAAACAATTTCCCGAAGCTCCTCCTTCCGACGGGCATATGACGGGTCCCATCAGCTGGGAGAAGCAAAGAGCTGCGGAAATCGACGCTGCCAACCCCGAGATCCTGATCATTGGTGGAGGCCAGAAGTTAGTCTGTTTCTTCCATATCTCGTTTCATTAAGACTGACTCTTTTTTCTCTTAAATAGTGGTCTTGCGCTAGCTGCCAGATGTAAGGCACTTGGTATGGATAGCCTCATCATTGAGCGCAGCGAAGAGATCGGCGATGTCTGGAAGAAGCGTTATGAGTACCTATCGCTTCACTTCCCCCACTGGGCTGATGATTTGCCTTACTTTCCATACCCTAAGCTTTGGCCCACGTACACACCCGCTCAGAAGCAAGGAATGTATATGAAGTGGTATGCGGAGGCATTGGAGTTAAATGTTTGGACCAAATCGGAGGTCGTGAAGGCAGAGCAAGACGACCAGCATAACTGGACGGTCGTGATTAACAAAGAAGGCCACGAAACCAGACAACTGCACCCCAAGCAGGTCATCATAGCTACCTCCCTTTGCGGCGTTCCCATGACCCCGGATATTCCCGGGATGGCCGATTTCAAGGGTGGTGTTATCCGCCACTCAACGGCCCACGACAGTGCGCGTGAGTTTGTGGGTAAGAAGGTCTGTGTCGTTGGTACCTCATCCTCTGGCTTCGATACGGCCTTCGATTGTTCGCGCCGGGGCATCGATGTTACACTTCTTCAGCGGTCCCCAACCTACATCATGTCTCTGACCCATTCCGTCCCGCGCACAATCGGTAACTATGGTCCTGACGCCGAAGGCAACCGGCCTAGCCATGAAGAACAAGACCGTCTTTTCTTTGCCACCCCTACTGGGCCCGGAGAAGAACTCGCCAGGCGTAATGCTAAGGTGTTGGAAGACCTTGACCGGCCTCTTCTGGATGCACTCCATGCTCGTAGTCTCCGGACCTGGCGTGGTCAGCGCGGCACGGGCGGTTCCACCCTCGGCCAGACCCGCAACGGTGGCTTCTATTTCGATGCCGGTGCGTGTGAGCACATCATCAATGGCAAGATCAAGGTGGAGCCAGGATACATTGAGCGATTCACCGAGGACAAGGTAATCCTCAACGATGGGCGTGAGCGCCAATTCGACCTGATTGTCTTCGCAACTGGCTTCTCCAACACCATTGACTCGATCCGTGCCACTCTAGGTGACAAGATCGCCGACCAGTGCGGTCCCATCTGGGGTATAGATGAGGAGGGCGAGTTCAAAACTGCGTACCGGGAGACTGGAGTGCCCAACCTCTGGCTCATGGTCGGCTATCTCCCCTACACCCGCTTCCATTCCAAACTACTTGCTATGCGCATAAAGGCTCTGATGGAAGGTATATCTCCGGCTCCATACAAGAACTAGACCTTAGATTCTCTCCACCCAAGGACCTCATAGACAATACAACTACAATAAACATGGTTTTCTGAAAGTGTCTGTATGGTCATTTGCTTGGAAGATTATTACGTGGGTAGAATCTAATTAACCTCACCTCAAGGGAAGGGAAGATGTACGTCTCGTGGCCTGTCTAGCCTAAGTACCAGAGTTCAACACATCCATCCTTTCCGATAACAACATTTCAAGGATCTCATTTTACGGAACCATAATAAATTCTGATAAATGTTTTATCTGCTGCATGTATTCCAAGAAGAAATAGTAAAGTCACATTATAACCTGGAGGCCTTTGTGCAACATCTGGCCAGAAGGACAAACCGAAGGTTCACGTGTAACTGGGGAACCATCGGAGAAAACAAGATTTATGGATAGATTATGCCAAGGGTTCGTCATTAGGCTAGACTCGGGTCGGTCCACCCCATAGTGGCACATTCATTGCTGAATTTAGGAAATATAGTATAGCCTTACACATAAATGGCGGTCTTCATTGGAAAAGAATACTACCTTCGTAGGATTCGTGACAGAGTCTACTCAGCATTCACTTCCTAGTTTCCATGGATTGAAGCCTTCTATAATCACACAGAGTTATATGAGCTTTACTGCGACTTCACCGGACCGTACCAGTCCGCGAAGCCCAGATCAAATCCCCACAGCGGCGTATTCAAGCGTTTCGCCTTGCCCGCAGCCGCCATTCCGTCCAGCACATACAGATCCTCTTTAGATAGTGAAATAACCTCTCTGTTACTAGCAATGCGCTTCTCACTCACCGATTTCGGAAGAACAACCACGCCTTTGTTGACGTGGTAGCTGATGAGGATCGTGGCGGCGGAAACTCCATTCTTATCCGCAATCTGTTGGATCTCAGGATCTGACATGATAGGAGCCCCTAGCAAAAGACATCTTAGTAATTTGCACATGGCTTTTGTGGGACACAAGAAGAATAGCTAGATGAATTACTCACCGGTAGAACCTAGAGGGGAATATGCTTCGAGGAGTATACCAAGCTTGTCGCAATACTCTCGGAGTTCATGTTGAGGGAGGAAAGGATGCAGCTCAACTTGGTTTACAGCCGGCACAACGGTCCATGTCTTGCGGAGCTCCTCCAAATAGGGAATGGACCAGTTTGCGAGCCCAATCGCCTTGACCATACCAGCTTTGTAAACCTCCTCCATCTGGCGCCAGGTCTCATTCTGATCCCACGATCGGTCCACCGAGCGGGTGCCATCCGGGTTTACCGGCAGAAGCTCGCTCGTCTCATTCTACATGGAGAAGGTTAGTCGCGCAGGGCTCTGGGGCGGAATGCTGGGAATGTGAACTGCTCACAGGAACCAGTCGAACGGGCCAATGAATAAGCTGATGGAATACTTCGTCAGACCAGATGCTAGGCCTCATACAAAATGACAGTGCACTTACGTAAAGATCAAGATAGTCGGTGCCCAGGCTATCCAGGGTCTTCTGTAGACCCTCCTTGACATTTGGGTGATGTGTGTTCCAAAGCTTACTGGTGATGAATATGTCCTTGCGGGGCACGCCGCTATCCTTAATTCCCTGGCCGACCTCGGTTTCGTTACCTGAATTATGCGTTATTATAACTGTGGCTTGGGAAGACAGCCCACCGCGATTAAAGAGCTCACCGTAGATTCTTCTGTTCGTTAGCCAGCACTCGATGATGAGAGGGACAGCAGGGCTCACTCACAATGCCGCATCAATGTGCCGGTATCCATTTTTGAGGGCGAAGGCCACTGCCTTTGCGACCTCTCCTGGCTCGGATTTCCAGGTTCCTGGGCATATCATCTACGTTATTGAGGGCGCAGCAACGTCATCAGAATCAATGCCACTCACCGAGGCCGACAGCGGGAATGACGGCGCCCGTATTGAGCTTGAAGTGAGTGGGAGGAGCCATGTTGCTGTTGTTCTCTGAAGACGTACAATGGTACAAGCAGTTGTCCAGCAGGGGAGGCCAATAAAAATGGTTTTCAGCCTAACGGATATAACAAACTGGAACGGGGATGTATATGAGGACGACAGGGAGATTTACTTTAGGCCATAGGATCGGAGTTGTGACGCACCGGGGATAATTGGTGTTGGTGGGACCCCGTCATCGGACATATTATCTTGACCTCGGTTGAAGGGGAGTTTGCCCGGCTCACCATTCCGCTAGGATAACCCCCGATCGCTAAGCGGCGAAAAGCCAAAAATAAACCCGATAGAACATCCGGAAGTCTGTACTCACTGTTTGTCAAATACAATACTATGGACCAACACCGAAGAAAGGGTCACTGACACATCTGAACTATGCGATTGAGTGCCAATCATGCCGCTCGCACTGAACGCCCAGTCGTCCTTGATCCCATGCGAGCTCCCGCAAGAACACTCCCCTAGCCATACACAGTTGCAACGTATTTGGGTTGTTACTGGTCCTGCCGGGTGTGGGAAGACAACAATATGTGAATATTTGCGACACTCGCTGGGTGTACCGTTTTTGAAGGAGATGACGTAGGTTGGAAACTGTCCATGAGGGATGGACTTTGAATCAGGATAGGCAAATAAGCTGACTTTTGACACACATCAGTACCATCCCGAATCCAACAAAGATAAAATGAGGAACGGAGTACCTCTTGCGGATGAAGATCGCTGGGACTGGCTTATTGCTCTGCGCGAGGCCACCCTTCAGGCCCTGTCCCCTAGCCAACGCAACAGCTTTCATCCCCCAAAATCGGTGATCGTTTCCTGTCCCGCCTTGAAAGAGAAGTACCGCGAGGTCATGCGCATCGCTGTGTACGGCTCGTCGCAGATCAAAATCCACTTTATTTACCTTAAGGTAAGTGAGGTGACACTTATGCAACGTGTGAATGTGCGAGAGGGCCACTACTTGAAGAGCAATATGGTGCGTTCCCAGCTGCAAGCCCTGGAGGAGCCACAGAAGAGCGAGTGGGATGTCACTACCATCAATGTTGAAGGATCAGCGGAGCAGGTGCAGCGCCATGTGCTGTCTCTTGTATGCTCGGGTATTACCAAAGGCAGCCAATCTGTTTGAAACGTTGGTATGACGTTGAACATGAGAAACGGCTAGCTTTAGAGATGTCTCCAGAATATGAAGGTCATCCAGTAGATTATGTTAATTTGATTGTGAGGAATGTGCTTGGATGTTTTCTTGTCTATTTTGGAATTCCCAACCGTAATTACCTTTCGAATATTAGCTCTTCTCCACTCATCAGACTCATAGCCTTGAAAAAGCTTGATGTACATGAAACAATAGGTTGCAGAGGTTTTCGATCCAACATTTTAGCAACTTAAAGCCTAACATTGACATATGACAACACTCCACTCAAGGCATGGATAGCCCCTCCCTACCTCCTAAGGTTATTTAGAGAAGGAAAATTTGAATGCTATACTCACATATATCTCTTCTGGGGAGGTCACTGCTGGGGGGGGGTTAGAACCATCTAGTGCTCTTCCTTCCATTCTACAAAGGCAATATGAAAAATTCAACTCAATGTCAAGTAAACGTGTCCATGGACTCCCGACGGTCTATGTATACCCTCTTATAGCCAAATGGCATGCTTTATCCCGTTTTCTAGCCCCTCCTTCAGGGCGGCCATCAAAGTCCACTTGTCTCCCCTTTCCCCGTTGATTCCATAGACCTCCACGCCACCCCCTTCTTGTCCGACTACAACGACATACCTGCCGTCGTCACTGAGCCGCATGCCACGGATGACATCAACGCCTGTTCGTACGTGCTTGATGTCGTTGACCTTCCTGCCGTCCTCGGAGAGCAGGATAATAGCGATCGCATCTCCCGGCGGTAGATCGCGAGGCACACTGTGGAGGTATGGTTCACGCTGCGCGATGTGCCTCTCCCAGCGATTGCTGGCATAGATAACGTTAGGGATGGAGGGATGAAGACCGATTTCGGCAGAGTCCATCATGCCTTGATGATCAGGGTGAACCTCCGGAGGGATTATAGTCGGTGCGAAGCCATCAATCGGGGGTATGCCCTCTGCAGGGGCAGCTGATACATCGAAGGCGATGACAGTGTGCGAGAGCTCTCCAATAACGTACATTATCATCTCTAGCAATTAAGGTCAGCTAGCTCCGGAACATGGGATCTCCGTGTTGAGGCTAAGAGTACATACCATTGGGAGTCAATACGGCATGCCGAGCGCCTGTTCCGGGAGGGCACTGTAGCCAGCCACAGACTTCAGGATGCTGAACGCCGTCGCGCCGAAGTATCCAAACCCTATCGGATCCCAGATCCGGGGCGTATAGTATGCCTTGGCTGTCTTCCAATATTTGATGCACATGGCATTGTTGCTGACGGGCCTTGTTAGGACCGTGTCCAATCGACTGATAGGGAAATTCCGGTAGAATCTCCGCTCGCGGAACATTTTGAAGCAGTATCTTGCCATTGCGTGTTCTGGAGATGGGATAGAGGGCAACAGATCCTCCCAGATACTACATGGAGTGAAATGTTAGTAGATGTGTCGAAACGAGGACCTGATGTCGACTAACAGTGCCAAGAACTAGTGCAGTATTATCACGCAACTTGATGACTAGTAAGACCAAATTATCACTAATAAGAACCGTATGGTAAACCGAGTGATGTATCTACCTACAGTGACCAGGCGCTCCCAGAGTTGGCAACTGGCTGGTAATTGTGCAATCCTTTTTCAGGTGATCTATCTCGAAGGTATACAAAAGACCCGACTCGTCCCCCTCGGATAGGCCGACAAGTTGATCCAGGCCCCTTTGCGATGACGATAGCTCGACCCAGGAAGCATTGAAGGGGGCTGCATAATTAGCAAGGATGCTCAACTTTCCTCTCTTCTGGTCGAATTCGAGCGTGGTGAAGTCGGCTCTGTCGCCTGCTAATAGAAGTCTGTTCTGCATAACGGCTCAAGGGGACAGAGATGGAACTGATAAGGTCCACCAGGGGTCATCAAAATGATATAGTAGAAGATCAGTTCCCCATGTACAATGGTATCGAGGCCTGTACTTACATTGACGGCCTAACATCACGTGAATCGGCCGAGGGGGTTGGAACCGGGGGCGCATATCCGAATCACTTTTCCGCAGTGATTAAGTCCGATGTCTGTCACCCGATTCCGTGCCATTTCACAACTTTCCCGGGCCCGGACGTGGAGAGCCATGAACGGATGAGTGGAGGCCGGTGGTCGAAACAAAGACTTTGATGGGGTATCTCGGAGTATTCCGGCTTGCACAGGCAGCCTCCCCCAGAAACAATACTGCCCTCGAGACGTGTGGGGACCCCGCAAAAGCCGTAGAATGGTCACAACGGTTACGTATTCCTAAATTCGCATGTCGTGACGTATGTACTATAGGAGCGACTGTTAGTTATAATGCTGAGCGAAAAAGGTTTTTGTTGGAACTAGTCTTACGAGAGGTCCAACGTGTGGTGCATTACTGATTCATTCCACCTGTCATTTGGTATCCGGGTTGATAAGCCTGGTTGCTGTTCGGTCGTGAATATAGCCAGGGTGTCGCACCAAGAAGGTCTGGGGCGAACAGATATTGATTCAATAAAATAGTTGACCACGACCAATCTGAGAACTCTAGATATATGATACACAAGCTATTGACATGGCCCATTTTCAAAAAGCCTCTTTTCCTCACTACACCCCAAGCGGTGTCTTCGGTGACTGAGAATATGTGGCTCTGGAAATCATCGTATTTTCAGCCATCTAGCAGAACTCATCAAGGCAGTTCATTGTAGACAGAATGCCTATAATCCACACGTCTCCGGCCGCCCGGCTTATGGAGAGACGAGTAAGTGCGTTATTCGCCCAATGACTGACCGACACGACACGGGACTAATAATCATGGTAAGTAGCCGGAGGTCAGGTCAAGAGAGATGTCCGATGCGCCTGTCATTTTCGTAATCCCTGTACATCACTCTAGTAGATCTGATTGGTGCGCTTATACCTTTTTGCCGTCTGGGGATGTGTGTTTAGAGCCGGCCGGCGTAACTCCAGTCAGATATCCCCTGCCCCACGGGCTACTTAAGTGCCCAGTCCTGCCTCCTCAGTCAGGTAAATACAAGGAGAGACAGTCAAGAGCTATAACTCGCTCAAGTTTTTCAATGCATCAAAAGTCGAAAGAGGATGATACTACGGTGGAGCATGATGAGAGGGGCACCCTTGGTGTTGAAGCGCTGGATATGATGCCTTCATATGGACCGGATGGCGTCAGAGGGCTTTTCAGCTCGGGGTATGTTCTTGGAGCCGCCGGCCTTGCTTCTCTTGGGGGTTTCAGCTTTGGGTATGACCAGGGAGTTATATCAGTCATCAATGTCATGCCCCAATTTCATGCGGCTATCCCGCATGCGGAGAGTGAATTTGGCAAAGGGTTCATGACAGGCATGCTGCTCCTCGGGGCATTTGTCGGTTGTATCTTCATGCCTTATCTTGCCGACAAGGTCTCCAGGAAGTGGGCCCTGACGGTGGTCGTTATCATTTTTGACATCGGGGCCATTATCCAGACCTCGGCCCAAAGTTACGGCATGCTGGTTGCTGGAAGAGCAATTGGTGGTATCGGGGTTGGTACACTGGCTATGGTAGAGATAAATCTCCTGTCCCATGCAAGACAGCTTGCTAATTTATCTGGCAATACCAGGGCGCACCACTTTACATCTCAGAAATTTCACCACCAAACCTGCGAGGAACCCTATTAGTGCTCGAATCCATTTGCCTCGTGTCCGGGTCAGTCATAGCATATTGGATAACGTTCGGCATGAGATTAGTAAACAGTGAAGCTTCATTCCGTGTGCCCTTTGGCTTGCAGATGGTCAGCGCAACTCTTGTTGGAATCGGTATCCATTTCTTCCCATACTCACCACGGTGGCTGGCGCTCGTTGATCGGCCGGAGGATTGTCTCAAGAGTCTGAGTCGGCTGCGCGGCCTTCCATTGAGCGATCAGAAAGTCCAGGCTGAGTTCAACGCAATAATCAGTGAGGTTAGAGCCCAGAAACTCATGGAAAAGCAACAACGCCCGGGAGTGACTGGCATCAAGCGAGAGGCCCTGATATGGATGGATCTATTCAAACCGCAGACCTGGAAGAGGACAGCAGTCGGCGTGGGTGTAGGATTTTTCCAACAATTCTCGGGTGTAAATGCCTTCATATACTACGCGCCGACGCTCTTCACTTCAATCGGCCAGGAGGGCGAGATGTCCTTGATTTTGTCGGGCGTATTCAATTCCCTTCAGCTTCTCACCGTCCTAGTCTGTTTCTTCACCATCGACAAAGTTGGTCGGCGACCCCTGGCTATACTAGGAGGTTTCCTTATGGGAGCCTGCTATGTCGTCATTGCTGTGCTAATGGCTCTATATGGGCCCAATTGGGCTAACCCATCGGCTGGTTGGGCCTGTGTGGCGATGGCCTTCCTGTACATTCTTGTCTACGGGAATACATACTCACCTCTCGGCTGGGCCCTGCCCTCAGAGGTCTTCCCAAATGCACTCCGTTCTAAAGGGGTCGCGTTATCAACTTGTGTCAATTGGCTGTCCAATTTTATTGTTGGAATCGTGACTCCGGCAATGATGGCTAATATTGGTTATGGCACATACGTTTTCTTTGCGGCATGCTGTGTTCTTGCAGGAACGTGGGCCTTTTTCTTGGTACCCGAGACGACCGGCAGGACGCTAGAGGAAATTGATGAGGTTTTTGGGAATGTTAGCAAACAAGCACACAACGAGATTACCGGAGAAACTACTTCAAAAGTGGTTAGAGAGGCAAACCGAGTCGACGTGTGACTAGCAATAGTGGGACGTAGATCACGCGGGCTACGACTGATTTTCTTGATAAAATATATAAATTGGCATTATTAGTTACGTCTAAATATTGGTTTCGAAGACTTTTCTTCTTGTTTCCCTGTGATATTGTCGTGTTCGACGACGTCTTGCGGTGTCCTCCCCAGTATCCCTCTTAATGTTTTGGGCCGAAAAGGACCACATTGCCCCTCGTTCTTACTCTTTTTTTTTCCGTACGGTTTGCAACTCATGAGGCAAACAGGACTTCTGATAAACGGGCATATAAGAGAACATCGGGCAGTTTGCACAACAACAAGAAGTGTTATGTAATTCGCACTCTCAGGACGAAGGGGACCATTAAACGAGGAAAAGTGATACTGACATACTCACTACTGTCCGAGAGGCGATCACCAAAGTTGAGGATACTCAGGATAGCTATGTATTCTGTACTTAAGACCACAACCAACAATGACCTCACTTGTGCAGGTATCTATTAGGTAATCATATTGTGTTGGGGAGAAGATAATTTTATGTGTAATTATTCGGAACTCATTGTAATCAGACCCATCTTGGAAATCCGCCTTAGTTCGGGACAGAAATCAACCATCTAAACGGACACTAAAGTCTGGAGCACAAGAGGAATTGTAAAACATACTAATCTAACCGATCTACCAAGTTGTCGCTGTGTTTCTAAATCCCAACACTGTTGGTATATTAGCCGCCGTGCGAGATAGTGTATGACAAACATATATTCTCAAGAATAAGAGTAATTGCAGAGGACGTTCTGCGTACCAGTGTGCCTGAATTGGCTAGATAATACAAGGGAGTCATACGGAAAGATTGCAATAGTAGGTCCAGCAGACGTTTAGGGGGACCAGGAAAATAAGTTGTAATTTTCACCTGAAAGGGTTAAAGGGATCTAAGACATTTGATTCTGAAGGTGATTTCTTGGCTAGGCTGAGGACTTGAACCATCAACGCGCGAAGAATGCACCACTGCTAAAGTTTAACTCAAAACATGCCGCTCTGATCGACGCCACGCTCAACAGATTATATAGTTAAGGGTAAGCCATCCGTCGCGTAGGATCGCGAACGGATGTCAAGAAGAGGCCTCGAAGGCGTACACTTTCTCGTCACGCAGCAACCGTCCGCGCCTAACCCGACTCTGCGACAGTTCCACTTTTTTCAGGGCTCTTCTGAGATGATGGCGAGTCGGGGATCACATCCTTCCCCTTGCCGCAATGCTGAACCAGGTGAATAACATCCGACAGTGAGCTAGATAGTCGTTCTGCTAGAACACTCATGCTTGCAGTGTCCATACAATGAAACCTCGTTTGGACTTTGGCAAGTAGATGCATCTCATCCACCCGGAGCTGTAGGATACGAACCACAGAGCGACAGAGGGATAGCAGGTGCCTTGTAAGCAGCAGCTTCACCATTTCCCCATCCTGCTCCGGAACCCTCCAATCGCCAAAGTGAATGGGGGGCAGTTTGGGGGACCCGGGCTGCTCGCTATAACCCATATAAACCCAGCTGAAAATTGTCTGGAGCACCGTCATGATTAGTCGCAATACCGTGCTGTCAAGTCGGCACAGCACACAGTGTAGGACACCGTCAGCACAGCCAATGAACGTTGAAGCCATTGATAGAACCCGATCGAACGGTATGGCAAGGTTGTTGCGTTCCGTAGAATGGAGGAGATAGAGTTGTTCTGTTAGCAGCCGGATGCAGGAACATGAGGTTCCCTCTTCGCGTTGGATTGGGCTGGGATTTTCAAAGAGGAGGGATGAAGTGATAGAAGTGCCGAAGGGTGCCCTGTTGGGAGGGTAAGAAGCCGGAATGTGGCTGGGGGTTGTAGCATTCGGCTTCTGTGTAACCACACGCGGTTGAACGTCAACTCTATATATGTCGTCGTTGATAGTAGTACCGATTGGGGATGTGAGCCTTGCGTCTGGATGCTGCTGTGTGGAATCGAATGTGTCAATTTCATTGGACTGCCCGTTTTCGGTTCCTGGAGACCAGGTAGTGGTACGTCAGTCCCAATCGACAAGAGCCTGTGGTAATTTTGCATTTCACCCGTGAGAGAAACATACCGTTTTTCAAGGTTGGGTAGGTAGGTTCGAGCTGAAGGACTGTCATTACTGTTTGACTGGGATTTTCAGATTGCGAGACACGGCGAACTCACCTGACACAGGCCTCCATCCGGTGGTGGAGGATACACTGTAGCATCGAGATCGAAGAAAGGGTCTACCCAGGGACATCCGAGATCGGCCTCCAATGGCTGATAGTCTAGTAAAGTCCTCGAAGGGGTCTCGGCAATTGTTGGAGAAGGGGTCTTTGAAACTGGCAACGATAATGGTAGCAGTCTGTCCGGGGTCCTTGCTGGCTGCTGTCGCCCACTGTTGGATGCGTTCAGCCTAGCAAGTGTCCTCTTGTTCCGGCTGCCCTTGGGTTTGCCAAGCTTTTGGGTGTAGCTGTACTGGCACGGGACATTACTATCCCTCGATGATTTAGAATTGGGACTTCGCCGGACCAGTTGGCCATTGGTGCTGGGGATTGACGCACGCGTTCTCACACTTCTTACAGGGGCTACCGCCGGTGCATCGTATTTTCGCCCTGTGGCAGGTATCACAGGCTAGACGCAGCCTCCTGGAGCGCATTGTGCCACGTGAAAGGGAGTCTGGAAAGTTGGACATGTTCAGCGGCACATGGTCATTGCAACAATGAAACCCAATGGCCGTTTATTTATACGCACCTTCCAACCTAACTTGGTACTCATCGGCTTACCGTCGACGGCAAAAAACCTGTCTCACCTTGTAGATAAGATGTGCTGGCCGCACGCAGCCTTGACTGAAGAAGGGAGATCGTGGAATGTTGCATCGCTCGTTTGCAATGGGCAGGTATTGGCTACCTGTGAAGCAATTTCCTCCCAGGTGCCACCCCATGACCGCACTAACACTGCGCAATGACCTAGAGCCTGGTAAGCCCACCCTCCAATCACGGACGTGGATGGCTTCTGACCTAAGTCTGGTCAGACTTCTGACTACCCAAAAGGGTACTATCCGGACCAGCGGATGGAGTAAAGGGTGGGGTGCTAGGGTGCATTGAGCAACAGCACAGCTGAAAGAATGGAGATTGGTGGCAACACGGCGCTAGTAAAGGATACCACCCGGATCCAGATCTATGATCGATTTTAGACGGCCAGGAACGGGGTTTCGGGTCGAGATCTGTGCAGTAAGCGAAGGGGGGTTGTTCCAACATGGTAGGCTTCGGGATCTGGTGGTACCTATCTCGACACAGGGACCAACTCCATATTTACCATTTGTCGATCGCCGATTGCTCGTGCCTTGGCGGGGGTTGTCGGGTTGGGGCCAGGGAAAGGATCATCCCTGTGACAGCTGCAGAGCTATCACGGGCCATCGATCGGAGTCAATATTGGCCGTGGGTGGGTGCGAAATTTCTTCATGTGTGGTGGATAAGGGCAATCATCCCTACAAGTCTTCACCCTCGCCGGTCGCAAGGGATTCGCCAGCGGCGAGGTTTAGCGCAGAGAACTATTTGATTCATACGTCCAATAGGAACGTCTTCGTCCCTCCCACAGGCCCCAGCCACCGGAAGTTTTCTCCGGGTACCGATGGCAAATACACGGCCTACCACCCAATTGAGGTGGATTGGACATAGTCCATGGTGGAATCACGCACGGTCATGCCAACCAGGAGGCTGACCTACACGCCCACTGGATGTTGTTTCTTGCACTAATGACAAACAATCGTACGAAATCGCACTGACCACTATGCAATCAGGTTTTAGGATAAATTAAATGGTATTGTTGACTATTGAATGGGAATCGGTGAACACTATCGTCCACGGCCCCTGTCACATATACCTTCCGTGTAACTTCGACTTGAAAAAGACGTACGTGGTCGTCTGTGCGCCTTTATGCATAATTGGAATAAATGGATATTTCCTGTGGGGCTCACAAGTCTACTGGCCCGACGAAGCTGAATCCCTTGGCACCCCCAAGTACCAAGCCACCATCCAATTATCCCCGTGCCATTCTGCGCATCAACGCTACTCCTACTCCGAAGGTGGCACCTAGAACGCGTACAGTGTCCCAAACCGGCAGAGCCCACGGTCTGGGGCAAGTTCGGCGCACGAGGGTTTGGGATTACCAATCGGCTGCATCGAGGCTCCGTGGTGGATCTACGATGCCTCGACAGCGGTAGGCCCGTTGGCCGCGAGGCGAGCAACAAGAGCCAGGCGAAGGTGATCAGCTATATGCAGTAGCGACAGGCTTTGCAGGAGCACGAAGACACTGACATCCACATCGAGCTGCTGCCGAATCCAGTTTCGGACCTCCATGGCCACAAGAGAGTCGACCCCTAGCGCCGGAAGGGAGTCGTGGGCACTGATGGCATGAGCATCGCGCAGGAGAAAGTTTGCTAGCGCCAAGCCCAATGCCTGCGCAATTCTTGTTGTGGCTTCTTCCTCTTCCAGGATCTCGGGTCGAGAGCCACATGCAGCAAGGAATCCCCGGAGGCTGTTGTGGTCTGAGGTTCCAGCCGGGGATACCTCGCTGCCCCCATGGATATTATGATAGATGCTCATCCGAATGTCGTTCTTCCAGGCTACTCGGCTGGAGCAGGTCGATATGGGAATGGTAGTGTGTACACCGAGTAGAATCTGACTGGCATTGCAGTACGCCCCAGCCTGGGCTCCGGTGGGTTCAGGAACTGATCGTGCGATAGCGAGAACCATTGCATCCAGAAGATCCTGCTCCTTCAAGATATGCATACCACTCTTCGCGAAGCGGTCGAATAGAGCCTCATTCTGTGATACAAAACCCACCTCACCCATAACGCCGACATCTATCACTGATGCTGGCAGGCCCTTTCCATGTCGATATTGCACAAAAGCATCAAGAAAGGTGTTGGCGGCCGCATAGTTTGCCTGTCCCCATTGACCAGCAATCCCACTATACGAAGAGAATAGAATGAAGAAGTCCAGGTCAGCAGAAGTGGCATGGTGCAAATTCCAGGTCCCCTGAACCTTGGGTTCCACCACGCTAGTCCAGTCGGAGAAGTTCATGTCCGCCAGTGATACATCCTAGCGAATGGGGTCAGAGCTAGTCGGCTTCTCATAAATATCGAGAGTCACATACCTTTAAGATCATCGACATATTTATGACGCCAGCCACTGGCATAGTCGCTGCATTAACTGCATTATGGACATCATCTGTCTCAGATACGCTGCCTGTAATCAATTGGACCTCACAACCCTGGGATCGAAGCTCAGCTGCAAACCGGACAGTCTCAGGGAGCTGGCCGGCAGAGCGGGAGAGGAAGATGAGATGTCGGGCCCCGAGCTCGACCATCCAGGAAGCTACCGCGCGGCCCAGCCCCCCAAGCCCACCCACAAGAAGGTAGCTGCGGTCGGGCCGCAGAGTGATGGAGGGTTTCCCAGGCACTGATCCAAGATCAATGGGGTTATCAGGCATAGTAATAATAATTTTCCCAATGTGTCGACCTGCCTGCATGAATCTGAAGGCATCTTGGATTCGGTTGGCCGGGAAGATGTTGGCCGGGGCATCTAAGGAGATGGCCCCAGACCGTATCCAGTCCGCACAACGCTCTAGGAGTCTAGTGAACTTTGTCAGTAGCAGCGCACGGTGCTTTGGAAATGGTATACTTACTCGGCGGCTTGCCTGGGCCTTTGTTGAGATAGCTGCCAGAGGTCAAGCCCAACAAATGTTCGATTGGCCTCGAAGGCCTCCATGGAAAGCTTCGCACGGCGGCGGAAGTCTCGTTTGCCGATCTCGACCATAGTCCCAAACTCGGCAACACATTTCCATGAGGCCAGCAATAGCTCCCCGGACAAGGAATTGAGCACCACATCAACACCCCGATTTCTGGTGGCCGTCATGATGTCCCGCTGGAAGGATGCATCTCGGGAATGGAAGATGTTCTCGCGCGGAATGTGATAATGGTCGATCAGATACTGTGCCTTTTCCTCACTCCCCACGGTGCAGTATATCTGTGTCCTTTAGCGATGCTCCAGCCATGCGATTGATGGCACGTACCTGTGCTCCTATCATCTGGGCGATTTGAATCGCAGCCAAGCCGACTCCACCGCACGCAGAATGGATCAGAACGGACTGAGAATTGAAGTCGTCAGGCAGTCTGCAGGTGTCCCGTTGGGAAATGAACGTACCTGACCCGTCCCTAATCTTGCCTTATCCACCAAAGCCATGGCAGCTGTAGTGAATACACACGGCAGCGATGCCGCCATCTCAAAGGACATAGTCCCATCCATTCGGACGCAGATAGCCTCTGGTAAAGTTACATGGGTAGCGAAGCACCCACTGGACATATACATTACATGGTCACCGACAGAGAGAGTTTTGACCTGGGCACCGACGGCTCGTATAATGCCAGCACCTTCAAGTCCCACCTCCCTAGCGCTGTTGTCAAGCACCCCAAGACCGATCAGCACATCCTGTATCAGATGTCAGCGATTGGGCCACTTAAATATCCAGGGGGACAAGCGGCGTACACGAAAGTTCAAGCCCACTGCTCTGGTCTCAACGAGGACCTCGTCGCCTGCCAAGCTGTCAATCTCATTCTCCGTCCACCCTAGAGTATGAAGCAAGCCCGGCGTCTCAATGGCGAGCTGTTTCCGCGTCGAGGGGGCTGAGGTGCGGAGATGCGAAAAGGCCTCGGGGATATTAGTCCAATGTGCACGGGGCACCAAAACCTCCCCGTCAACAATAGCATATTCCCAATCCGGACTCATGGAGTCAGGCGCAAGGTCGGAAAGAGGACCACGGAGAAAGATTCTGATCGTTAAATGCGCCGCAGTTGAGCTCGGAGTCACGTTGTCCACCTCCACCGTCATCAGCCTAGCCGACAACTCATTGCGGGCGGTGCGCGCCAGTCCCAGTATCATGGAAGCTCTGGGATCTTTGCATTTCACCTGTGACGCACGGGTGACCCACAGCATCTTCTCCTTGAGTGTTTGTAAATATCCCAGTATTACCTTGAACGTTGTCTCTGACATGCCGTGGATTGTAGGCTCTTGCAGGTCTAGCACAGATATTACATCCTGCGTGGGGGCCAGAGGCTCGCCTAGGGTGCAGATGTCCACGCAGACTTTCAGGTCATGTAGGAGCTGAATAAGACCTTCCACGTATGTTCCTGTTGGGGTGTAACACAACAGAGTCACCCTAGAGGGAATTGTTTGCGGACGGGCCGTTGAAACGATCATGCCTGCGTTGCTATGATATGGGACAACTCCATCAAGCACGACGGCATCGGGCTCGTCAAAGCCTGCGGTCTTTAGTTCCTGAGTCCATCGGTCCGGTGAAACATATGGCTGTTCGAGGCGATTGCCCGCCCGTCCAAGCCACCACCCAGGTAAATATCCCTATAGATGCCTGTTATTAGCCATCAAGACAGATTGACAGCAACGGAGCGGGGGATCTGCAGGCTGTAAAGTTGGGAGGACAGCTACCATAACATAATCATAAAATTTGGCCTCTGCCCATTATTAGCTCTCAAGTCACACTACACTTAGTGGTCTAGAAGGCCCCACTCACCAGGACAGAGCTCATGCAAGAAGAGACGACCTCTGGGCCTCAGCAAACTGCGGAGGTGTCGAAGAGAGGTCTGCAAACACGGCGTGGCATGCACGACCTAACTTTGGTAAACACTCATACCCGACATATCGTAGCTACTGAGTGTTAACATCACTTACATTACTAGCAACGATTAAATCGTACTGCCCCAGCTCGAGGCCCTGAGTTGCAGGGTCTTGCGTGATATCGAATACAGCATATAGCATGCCTTCGCGGTCGGCAAACTGCTCCTGTGCTGTCGTCAAGAATCCTGGTGAAACATCGCTATAGGTATAGCTGCTGTACAAGCGCTCGCCATTGGACGAGGTAAGCGCCTGGAGGATCTTCCGGGTAGTTCCGCCTGTCCCAGCGCCGACCTCCAGGACACGCATGACGGGGTTGCTATGACCTAAGAGCGCCACCGCATCTGCGTATTCTAGAGAGTCCGTGATAGCACAAAACTCCTCAAAAATTTGGTCTTGCCGGAGGACCTGTAGCGGATGGGTTTCACCGGTGAAGATAGTTGGAGCGGCCATAAAAAGGCGATGTACGGCGGTGGCGAAGACTGCATATGGCGAGGCCTTGACTTGGGTCACTAGGGCATCCACGCGAGCCAGACGATTGGCACGGCTCATGCTTTGGAGCTCGAGATCTGCAGGAACCAAAATGTTCGACCCTCTCCTGTATCGGTCTAGCTGAGTCTTTTGCCAGGCAAAGAACGCCCGGAGATGCTCAGGGGTCTGCTCGTCGAGTTGTAACTGCCTCCGATGCTCCAGCATACACAAAAGAACAAGTTCCTCCAGTAGGGCCCATTCAGAAGGACAGTGCCTACGGGGGTACATCAATTGCGACAAATCAGCGAAGTCGGCGTCTCGTTTCCACTCCAACTGGGTTATTAGCGGTACATCTTCTGAGACAGCACTCGCTGCAGTGAGGGCAGAAGCCTTGAACCCTTTCACCGACAGGACAAGCTCGCCTGCTGAATGGGCAACAAGTTCGCCAACATATGATCCTCCCTCAGATGTAGGGATATGGGAATCCACCTGTACACTACCCTTGGTGGGAATAACGACCATTTCTTCGATGAAAGTTGGGACGGCGGGATGACGGCATTTCCGTGCCTGACCGCGACAGACAGACACGGTGAATAACTGGAAGCACTGGTCGATCATTCCGGGATGGACCGCATAATGTGCAGTTCCGTCGATGTTCTGCCACGGGACGGTCGCAGTGGCTCTGTTATCCACTGTCGCAGCTGAGATGGATCGCAGACCACGGAATGCCCCCGTGTAATCCAAGCCCACCTGCCGCAGGACATTGTACCAAGTTCTTTGATCAACTGGACGCGGCAATGGTACCGCTGACTCGTCGACGTTCCTAGCTACAGATTTATCTGCGGACGCTCTAGCCTCACCGTAGCAGTTTCGCACCCAGCGGGTTCCGTCAAAGGAGCTAATGCTGAATGAATACCATGGAGACGCCTCCGATGAGTCCAGTGATAGTGGGTGGAGACTTGTCAGGACCTCCGTCGACCTTTCCGTTTGCAACGTCAATGCTGTACAGATGCTGATGTTTCTAAGCGAGTAGACGGGTTCTCCTTCCAACTGAAGCAGAGCCTCCCCGATCATAGAAACATAACCTGCGGCAGGAAAAACGGTGAGATCACTGACGCGATGGCCTTCCAGCCAAGGAAGGTGTTCCAAGGCTAGTACATTCCTCCACGACGGCTCATGGCCCATTTCAATTACCCGGCTTCCCAGAAGTTCGTGCGGCGGATATGCTCGAAAGCGCCAGTCGCGGGCTAAGCGTGGCTCGGCCCAGTGGGACACATCTTTCTGCCAGGCATAACGGGGTAGGTCCGTGACACACTGACCCCGGGGGCAGACCTTTGCGAGGTCAAGAGAAACATTCTGCTGAAAAAGCGTGCCCGCACACTGCAGGAGGCTTCCCTGGCATTGTTGTGATCGTTGGAGGGTTCCCACGTGCCCGACGTCTGGTCGTTGGACGTCGTGAAGTATCTGTCGGATAGGCCCTTTAAGCGCAGGGTGCGGTCCGATTTCGATAAAGGTAAGCTTGTCGGGATAGTCCCGTAGGACGGATCGCAGGCAGGCGTTAAAAAGCACCGGACTCTCCATGTTCTGACGCCAGTATGTGGCGCCCAAGCCATCTCCCGTTAACCTGTCCCCCGTGACCGTCGAGTAAAAGGGGACCTCGGGGCACCTGCATTGAAGAAATGGTTGGAGATGCTGTTCGTAGTGAGGTCCATACTCCTGCATATGGTCTAACATTGGGTGAGCATCTAGTTAGACATGGTAGTCAGGGGTTGCGGGTACACTCACGAGAATGGAAAGCCTTCTCCACGCGTAGGAACCGAGCGAAAGTCCCCGGTTGCTCCTCTTGGATACGACGCACCACCTCCTCGACCCGTTCGGTGTCTCCTGAAATCGTCACGCTCTGATGACTGTTTTCGCAAGCAATCACGACCCCTTGTTGGAGTAGGGGCCGCACTTCTTTGGGACCCAGACCAATGGCCGCCATGGCTCCTTTGCGGGAGGAGGTCTCATGGCTCGCACCTCGGAAGGTGGCGGCAGCCATCGCCTCCTCGGCAGTGATGGCGCCGGAGGCATATGCAGCTGCCATCTCCCCGGATGAGTGACCCAGCACAGCCGTGGGGACGATGCCCCAGGACCGCAACACATCAATAAGCCCTATCTGGAGGGCAATGGACAAGGGGTGGCCCATGACGGCTTCGTGGATTCGACTGATCGTGTCTGGCTTGCGTAGCTCCGCTGAATTCTAGCATGAGCCTTCATCCAAATTTAACCTTGGAGCGTGCTTCTCACCTTCGATCGTCCATGGCGGTGGACTGGGCAGTGTGCGTAGAAAACGGTCCAATTTCTGAATTGTGTCCCGAAAGGTGGCATTTACCTCCAGAAGCTCTGCCCCCATCTGCGGCCATTGTGCTCCCTGTCCCGTGAATACCCACACAATGCGTGGAGGCAAAGTGGCAGCTTCTGCTGTCGACACTTTCCAGGACTTTTGGTCGTCTGTAACCGCATAAGCGCGATAGGTGTGATGGGACCGGCGATTGGCGAGCGTGTATGCCACATCCTGCAAGGGGGCATGACCTTGCTCAACGTACGCTTGATGTGCAGCGATGGAAGTCTGCAGGGAGACTGCGCTGTGGGCGGAGAAGAGTAGCAAATGGGCGTTCTCTCCCCCAAGACCAGGGTCCGGGCGTGACATCTGATCGACGATCCCGCATTGACGTGGGGATTCAAGAATAACCTGGAGCTGATGAGGAAATATTCCCTAGCAGATAAGGGCTAAGGGCCTCCTACATGGGCATTGACACCGCCAATGCCGAAGGAATTGACGCTGACTCGCTCGGCACGGTCCGCAGGCCATGGCTCAACCTCCACAGGGACGTGCAGCTTGCCGGTCTTAAAAGGGACTGACAGCAGGCCACGAATTAGACATACACTGGATAATGAAGCCAGAGGCACACTCACTGTCGGGATTCGGTTCGGAAAAGTGTATGTTAGGCGGCACTTGACGGTGTTCCAGTGCCAAAACTCCTTTTATGAGACTCGTCAAGCCGGCCGCCCCCTCGGAGTGGCCGACATTGGGTTTGACCTGGTCCACACAAATCTTGATCAGTCTCTCAGTGGTCCCTTTTGAATGCGCAGAGCTCCGTCCATACCGAGGTAATGATTATACCAGTCTCGCCAAAGCACTTCGCCACGGCCGTGGTCTCGAGAGGATCCCCCACGGAGGTGCCGGTACCGTGGCATTCGATCATGGCCGTCTGGCCGAGGTCAGTAATACCGGCCATCTCGTACGCACGGCGCATCAGTGCCTCTTGCGCGGTTGGGCTCGGGGTGAGCATCCCCTGCGTCTGACCGTCACAGTTAACGCTCGTACCTCGGATGACTGCCCTGATGGGATCTCCGTCCTGAATGGCCTGTCGTAAGGTCTTGATGTAGATAGCGTTGATTGCTTCACCACGCCCGTAACCATCGGCAGATGCATCAAAGGTCTTGCACGTTCCAGTGGGCGATAGCACACCCTGATCACTAAGTGCCAGGCTCATGGTAGGCGAAAAGATCAAGCTTGTTCCACCAACCAATGCACCCTCACAGTCACCGTCGCGCAGCGACTTACAGGCGAGGTCGAGGCATACCAATGATGATGAGCATCCAGTCTTTATGGTCATGCTTGGTACTCATTAGATTCACACTTTAGTTGATGGATAGTATGACAAAAAGGAATAGGCCTACCTAGGGCCGCGGAGATCAAACTCGTACGAAATACGATTCCCCAGCACAAAGTCATCATAGCCCGTAACGCGATAGGCACCCATATGCTGTGTCTCCTTTGCATTCAAGTCCAACCAGTCCTGGCCAAACACGCCGACGTAGCAGCCGATCTTTCGACCCCGCCACAGGGTGCATCCCGCATTCTCCAGGCACTCATACGAGACTTCGAGGAGCTGGCGCTGCTGCGGATCCAGCCGTTCTAGCTCTTTCTTGGGGCTGGAAAACACATTGCTATCGAATTGGCGGACATCAACGTCGTCGAGAAAGTAGCCCTGCCGCATGCTCACCGTTCCCGGCTTGCCATGCGGATCGTGGAAGGCGTCAAGGTGATATCGGTCCTTCGGCACGTCACAGAGCCCACTTCGCTTCTCGATTAGCATCCGCCAAAAGGATTCGCTGTCGTTTACTCTGCCAGGCAGCCGCATGGCCATGCCCACGATGGCGATAGGCTCGTACGAGCGTGAAGCATGGTTCTGTTCATCAACCGTGATCCCCATTACGTCGTACTCGTAATTGTGGCTGTTCAATGAAGATTGAATGAATCTACTGAAGTTAAGATTGATTATTTGCTCTGTCCATACAGTGATGGGGTTGTGCACTTGATGTAATAAAACATGAAGATAGTGCGAGAGGAGGCACGGGCCATAATGATCAAGTCGGTTGCAATTTGGAACAGGTTAGGGTTGCAATAGAGCAACCGGGTTCCGTTCTTGGTCCTGCAGACCAGCGCAATTATGGGCCGAATGTCATATCGGATAGACGGTTATCACTTCAATAACGCCGATCTGTCTGACTTACATCGGCATAGTCGGGGTAGTCAGGATAGTCACCGACCTTGACTCCGCAGAGGATATGCGCCGACCCAGTGGATGCAAACCCCCTCGGTGCATAATCCAGGTTGCCTGTGACCGCGATTCAACCACATGTCCCATTCAAAGCTCAATCTGGGTGCCTCGCTGCGAATTACTGAGACGAACTAACTTCCACAGCCAATTTACTCCGGCCCAAGTCAGGTGAAGGGACCTCCAGAACTTTACTTTGTCTTTATTCAATTTCTCACTGAAGCATACTGCGAGCCAACAAGGAAGGTGACCCAAGACACCAAGCAGCCAGTTTTGCCAAACATGATGTTCAAGCCGTTTACTGGCGTGGGTGAAGCAGGAAATGTAGGCATTGTGTTGCTGGTTGGCTTCATATTACTTGTAAGTGCATCTATCAGACCCAACTAAACTCCTTCAAGACCGACGCCAATCTAACGGTCAGTGGGGAGGCCAGGTTCTAACGCGGGCCCTGTATCTGGGCGTCTTCCATCCTCTGGCCAGATACCCAGGTCCTCTCCTTGCGCGGTTCAGCAATCTATATTCCGCGTATCATGCGTGGAAAGGGGACATTCATATTGACATCTACCGTTGCCACGAGCGATATGGTAATTTTCCCTACACCACAGGATGTGCACTTCAGCTCCGCCTAACATGACAACAGGGGACCATGTGCGTTATGCGCCCAACCGGCTGCTAATTAACACGGCAGGGGCTGTCCAAGACATATACGGTCATCGCGCGCCCGTCAAGAAATACGTGAACTACCGGGTGCTCGCGCAGCAGGCACCTAATACCCTCACGATGCAAGATAAAATCCAGCATAGCCGCCGACGCCGGGTGCTGAGCCAGGGATTCTCCGCCCGCAGTCTTGAATCGTGGCAGCCCAGGATCGTCTCTCAGCTTGATCGACTATCCCAGGTCATACGCGGATGCTTGATCACGATGCCCTCTTCAATGGAGAATGGATGGACGGCGCCTCTTGACATGGCACGCACCTGCAAGTCTCCTGTCAACCTGAAATATGATAGCGTAGCTAACAGTCGTCAATAGTTGACCGCCTCACTTTTGATACAATGACCTCGGTTTCTTTCGACTCGGACTTCGACACTCTCCGATCGTCGAAATATCGCTATGTGATTGAGGCAATCTCCGCGTCGAACATTCGACTCAGCGTGCTTCTGCAAGCGCAGGAACTGGCGACAGGCAACCTGGATGGTCGGTTATTTCCCTCGTCCATCGCTGGTCGCAGGCAATTTGTTCGATTTATCCGAGAACTCCTGGGGACGCGGCTGCGTGCCCTTGACAAGGGTGGGGACCTGTTTGCCTTCTTACAGCAATGCAAGGACCCTGCCACGGGCGAGGGTCTGGGCGTGACGGAATTGAGCACGGAGACTGCCACCTTTATCATTGCCGGTCGGTGACCCTCGGCCACCCTTTGCTATAGCGGCCAGTGCTACCATGCTGACGAAAGGTCAGGATCTGATACGTCATCAACCACCATGGCTGCTGTATGCCACTACGTGACCGTCTCTTCTGAATGTCATCGCCGGGTAACAGACGAGGTACGGTCGGCATTTGCCTCGCTGACGGATATCCGCCTGGGACCAGCCTTGAATTCTTGTGTGTTTCTGCGGGGCTGCGTTGATGAAGCCTTACGCCTCTCGCCGCCGGCAGGGAGTGCTCTCTGGCGGGAAGTTGAGGACGGAGGCGCCTCCATCGATGGTCACTGGCTTCCTCCGGGCTGTGAGGTCGGGGTAGGAATCTATAGCATTCACCACCGCGCCACCGAGTGGCCAGAGCCCTTTCAGTTCAATCCCGACCGGTGGCTGAAGGGATCGGGGACTCAGGAAGTCGACGGCCGCGCGTACATGCCCTTCTCGATCGGGGCCCGGAGCTGTATTGGTAAACCGTTGGCGCTGGCACAGGTGATGCTCACTATGGCCCGTCTATTCTGGGAATTTGACATGCGGAGGGGGGATCGAAATGACAGCGAAGCCAAGGATATTGAGTATGTGGTGGCGGATCATGTTACGGCCGGGGGTCAGGGTCCCATGCTGTCTTTCCGACCGCGGATTTGACACGCACCAGCGGTTACGCGGTGGTGCTTGAATTGTCGATTTAGATCTGCTTCCACACAGCTTAATGGTTCTGTTTCAATTGCTCCATATATCTCTCTTCATCTACAGTACTACTGTTTGTGTCGATAAATAGTAATAATACTATTGTGGACTAGTAGTTGTAATATCCCGACCGACACTTTGGTACTCTTTAGTAAGTACTCGTTGAGAGACTTGAAATATATATCGTTGAAGTAGTTGGGATCTACTATCCGCCTACGACTCATCCAAATCCGTGCTCGGTAGCAGTATTACCAATAGTACTATTTGACTTGGCAAATCTTTTCATATCGCCGGGGTTATGAAATAGTTGATAAGAATTACAAACCACACACTGGTGGTCCGCGAAAATAGAAAATAAAAGACGAAGTTATGCTGCGAAGCCCGTTCAGGCGCAGTCTATCCGGCGCAGCCCACGGTCGGCAACTCGGCAAAGCAGTCGGTGGTTGAATTACGTACAGTTGTTGGCATCCTTTACTGAGTCTTTATACACAAGGTGCAATAGCTATACTTGGGAGGAGTAAAAGTGTGCATATTCAAAGGAATAACAGGTCAGAGGTTAATGCGTCATTCTCTCGTCTCTGAAGTGCGGTGATCGGCCTAAGCCACAGGTATAACAAGGATACAGTGCTCCTTACGCAAAATAGCCAATGTCCTTCCAGTGCTGCACAAACTTCAGTACCACTTCATCCTCCACGGCCCTCATCTGACGCAGAGTGGGCGAACAGGCCCGGGAGCGATCAGTGGCCAGGATAACATGCCCACACACGGCAGGTTGGAACAACCGCGCAAAAAATGCCTTCAGCTTCAACACGGGGTACCTGCGTGTGGAGCCCTCTGTCTCGGCGGCGTCCACCACAGCAGCCAGCCACTCGTCGAAGGGGATTCGCGTGGTCAGCCCCAGGACAGGGCCCACGGTGTCCAACAGATCGCTCCATGCCTGACGGATGGGATTCTCCACCTGGTAGACCGGCGCCAGCGGATGCGGCGCAAGAAGAATCTCGCAAAAGACGGCGGCCGCATCGTCAACGGGCATCCACGACAACGTCTGTTCATACATCACGTCAATCACGTCAGCACTTGCATCTCCCATGGCATTTGGAATTCCGAGTGCAACTTACCCCTCGCAGCTGGGGCAGCTTTCTAATGCTCAACGACGACCGCAACATCATCGGCACCACCTCCTTGGTGGTCCAGATGCCCGTGGCCCGAGATCCTACGATAGGCCCTCCTCGGACTATGGCGATCTCCAGCTCGTCCGGATACGTGGCTGCCGCCCGTTCGAGGATCTTCTCGCAAACGATCTTCCCATCGGCATATCCTAGTCCGGTAGCAGATTTCTGGGTGACCATGGAGGCCTCCTCGATTAATTCCCCGGCATGGGCTGGAGTGAGCCCACGTTGGGCCACCGCCGCGATGGAAGAGACGAAGAGGAATCGCCGGCGCACGCCCCCGCACGAGGCCAGAATCAGGAGATGGCGGAGAAACTGGAATTGATCACAGAGTGACGATAAACCTGGACGAAAGTCCATGGGCCAGGCAGCGTGTATAACATGAGTGATACGACGCTGGACATCTCGATACTCGCTTGCGTCAAGTCCCAAGTGGGGGTCCGTCGGATCACAAGTGATGAGGGTAACTTTAGACCATTCGGCTTCGGAGAGGAATATCTTCTTCTCCTGCAGCTGCTGGCGATAGGCCTCCGGGCTGACAGATGGGCTAGGAGTCTGACTATTTCGGAGGACACAAATAACCTCGCTCACCTGATTGGACTGCACTAGCTGTGCCAGACAGTGCGACCCTAAGCTTCCAGAACTTCCTGTTAGAAGTATAACAGCTTTTTCGAGCTTGGGATCGAGTGTATCTGGGTGCGCGGAATATTTCTCCACCAGCCGATCAATCTCCTGCCACGGTTGGGATTGGTCGGACTGGATGGGGGATGAAGCGATGACTGTCATGGTGTGAGACTCCCGAACACGATTTTTTCGATTACAAAAAAGACAGCAGCTCTTTTTACAGAATGCTGGTGACGTTGATTTTGTGCAGGGACCGGCGATTATGCGACTGCTCGGCGATTATCCAGATTCGGCCCATAAGCTACACTCGGCCCTTCTCGGTGAGATTGCAAGCTATATTGTCCTCTCTAGAACTTTTTGCGGAAGATGACAGACAGTCGCTTGTTATCGGCCCTTATTTACTGCGTTCATCGGGGTCGCTAACCTCGAGGCTATACTAGTGGCATGGGAGAGACGGGCCGACCGACTTTTTTGAGTGAAAGACCGGAGTCAAACTACCACCCACCTCCATCAAACAGTCTGGGTAACAACCGTAGCGCAGCAATCGCTCTTGGGAGCGGCTGTAGTTGTTGTATCAAGATAGCGGAGGGCGCGCCGGCTAATGACTGGCGAAGAATAACGCAGAGCCCAGCTCGGTTGATGGATGCTAGCACCGGAAAGGGTAGTGCACCATGTCTGTGAACCGCCTGCTGGCTGAAAGCAAGACACCAAATTAGCCTGCATCCTACAACCTTCTCGATTGGTTGCATTGTATGCTGGTATCATTGCCAGTGCGATGACTGCCGGGTCTTGGGTGGGAACCCCACTGCACAGAACCCTGACCACTCTATCCTCCACACCAATCTTGAGATGTAACATTATGCGAGGAGCATTATGAGATTGTAATGTAAGTCGCTTGTGAGTGACTGAGTCAAGTCATTCATCCTGGACGAGACCTCGACTTACTACGTAGGGGGCCTAATAGGCGTCCAAGGCTCAGCGGATCTATTTTGGGCGAGGGTATGATGAGTAGCGAGAATGAAATGAGATGCATAAATTGGAGCGCCTAACCCATGGTACCTCTGGATTCAGCATAGCCACGCCTTGTCGGTGGTGCGGGATGGGAACCCGCCCAAGTTGCGGTCTTGAAGGTAAAGTAGATCCCAGCAGCCATCTGGCGTGGTGTTGTTAGTATTGACATTCATCTCCTCGTTTGACCGTACCACATGGTTGACCTTGGAACGGGCCGCTTTGAGGTGGTTAGACTGCCAAGGTCTCATACGAATTTCACTCGTGGGTGGAGTCGGGTAAATCCCGAAGACTGTCTGTTTTAGACGGATGGGGAGCCTGATGGTTCTCCTCACGCCTTGTTATTTGCAGATGGCTCTCTCATGGGGCGCGCATCACCGCGTTCTGAGTGGACGGTCGGGCTGACGGTCTTGACCTGGGTAAGACATGTTTCTCCGTGCGGCCAGAACAGGAAATTGGCATCGAACCACTCTACTGCTAAGCTCAAGACGTATGACTTGTATGAACCATGTACAAGTCTACCCCAGCTTAGTCCACCAAGTACACTAAAATCTCCTCGTAATAGGTACGTCCTTCTCTTGCGTGTGACCTCCGCTGCCACTCGGACATTGCACTGCCCATGGAGTAAGAATAGATGAGTGAAATAGCTACCCATCATAACTAAGGAATATATAAAGAGCACCAGCCAGATGCCAAACCTAGCTCTTGTCTTTGGCATCAATCTCATAGACTACACATACCTCTACCATCATCAGCGTTACTACAATCGTTGCAGATCCCCTCCTCAGACGCCCAAATCTCATAATCTATTTCCTGTCACCAGTCATTGACCACACCGCCATTATGAAGTTCACGCTCAAGCTATGTTCCGTTCTCGCTCTAGCCGTTTCCACAATGGCGTTGCCCACCACCGACACGCGAGTTATCCAACTCCGCCTCTGGGGTGAAACCGGTTGTGCCGAGGACAACATGGGTGAGCTTGGCTTGTACCAATCCGGCCTTGATGAATGTGGCACCTTCGCAGGCCCCTATGCCATTCATTCTATCACCACCTATTACGTCGTAGCAGGATATGTTGGTAAGTCAATCTCCATCTCCCTAAGATCTTTCAAGTCACCTGACATTTCATCCCCAGCGCAATTCTTCACCGATTCAAATTGCGAGGAGGGCGTCCAAAATGTAACTGCGCCAGGATGCCTTGACGGTGACACTGCGTTTGCCAGCTACAAGCTAGTCTCGAACTAGTAGTCGGTTGGAAGTAGACGGGCAGTGGAATGAGGAACGAATCTTATCTGTGAAACCATCTTTGCGAATGTTAGGAGATTGATCTGTATCGTTCAGCTAAAAATGTGCACAATTTCGAAGATCGCATATGATAAGCAGAAAAGGCACTCGTCTAGGAAAGATCTAGTACCCGACATCCTGCGAGGTTCACTGTGCTATAAATTTCGTAAAGCACATCTGACCAAATGTCGCATTGGTTTGTCAAGTATCTGACTGTCAAAGGGTATGTAGAAATGGGTGGCATGGGCCCTCCCTGCTAATATCGCGTATGTCTAAACCTATTCGTCACATCGGTCTCAACTCCACACAAGGGCAGGTTTGGAACCTTTCAATCTTGGATGTGCATTACCAAAGACCTGGTGATATCTCCGTAGTCAAGTTGAGTGATGCTGTTGCTAATATCCAATCAGACTGTTGGAAGAGATATTTGTTTTGAAACCACAAAGCTTTATCACCATTGTGACGTTTTGTAGAGACACATGGTTACATTTTTAACAGGTACCTGACGACACCCCCGGGTTCTGTAGGAGTACGCTTATATTGATGCTACACGGGTAGATAATGTAACATCTCTGCTTATCACGATATCTACCCTTTCTAACAGCGTCGACGATTCTCTTATTGAAGCGTTAAGGAAGACCGCTTTATGGGTCCGCATGGTGTCTTGATATACATGAGACAACTCTTCTACATCTATTTCATGACCCAAGGTAGAGTGTTAATGAGTGTTATTCCGATATGTCAAGAATCCTGAACACCGTTGTACCAACGGCTATAGAAGTGCCTTCTCAGTATTCCCCACAAAGTCATATACGTCTTCACAAAATTTGAATGAGCCGGGGCCCAAAGAGTATTTTTATAGACGGGATACATCACCCAAGAATGAAAGCAGATAATGCGGCGAACTGAAACGATGGTTAAAGGGAGATAAAACCAACATCATTCTGAGATACTCCGCTTTTTGTCATGCGCATATTGCGCCGCCAACGGCGCCTCCAGAGGATGGACGGGGTTGCTTTCCAACACAAAGGGCTTGACGGGGTCAGAGCTCCCCTCTGTTGAATTATATGCTGGCTGCTGCAGATTACGAGGAATTCTGCCCCAGCAGAAAGGCGCCTGCTGTTCGGCGGTCTGACTTTCCGGGGCAGGCGATTCACGACCTTCGAGCTGAGCACAGAGTAGATTCTTCTTTGCCTCCATTTCACAAATACCGTACTGGGGTATCGATGATTTCAACGAGGTGATCGTGTGTACGATGGATAGCACCCGGCTTTGCTTCGTTTTCTGTTTTTGTCGGACGCGTGGTAACAACCGCACTTCGGTAGCTTATTCGTTGCTTGGATCTAGTAGAAGCCACTATTAGTTTACTGATCTGCTGATATAAGGAGGAATACTAGGCAAGGGTACCTGTATTTTCAGAAGTTGTTACGCAGCTTGCAGGATTCATGAGGGAGAGAGGGATGGGGCACCCCGGTCATAATCAGGTATAAGTAATCATGACGACTGTGCCCTTACTAATAAGGTCATCTGCTCTCCAGATTAAGAAATCAGCCGTCCAAAAACACCATATAAGTGGATGTTGAATTTCACCTCTCCGTAGAACCATGGTTCATCATAACTCTCCTTAACCGTAATATCTCGAAAGGACAGCAGCCCCGGGAAGATGCAATGCCATCTTAATCACACTAACAATTGCAGGCAACTTCTAAAAGGTTGTATATCCATTTACCTGATCCTATGTGCTTAGTGGGAGAAAGATAATTTATCAGAATATAGCTTCACATTACCGAAGCATCGTCGTGATTCACACCACCAGATCAGTTAGTCTCCACAGTCTACGTCAAACAATAAGAATGAGAGACAAAGTTAGACATCGAATGCCGCGGTACTCATGAAATCTTCTGTAACAATATCAGCGCCGAAGAAAGGTTATCATGTTTCAACGACTTATCCATCAAGACGGCACGCTCACCGCAGGACGGCAAAGGCCAACTACATATAGGAAAATGTTGCTAACTATATTGGTTTGGCCACTCAAAATATTCTTCTAGTGTCCAAGTGACCACTAACGTATCATTCGACATCAACACATATGATACTTCTAGCAAGTCTATGTATAACGCCTCAGATCTGATATTTCCCTTCCAGTGCAGCGACTACGGCGTCACCAAACTCTTTAGTGCCTGATTTGCCCCCGAGATCAGGAGTGCGAATTCCCTTGTCCAGAACAGCTCGCACAGCATCTTCAATCTGGCGCGCTTCGATCTCCATGTTGAAAGAGTATCGAAACATTAGGCTCACACAGAGGATCATCGCAGTTGGGTTTGCGATGTTCTTGCCGGCTATTCTTCAAGCTATTAGCAATAAAAGAAACAGGATATCAAAGAACACTTACGTCGGAGCGGAGCCATGTGTTGGTTCATATAGACCGCGAACTTTTTCCTTCTTGCCGGGATGAGGAAGACCATCCAAGCTAGCACTGGGCAGGACACCTAGTGTTCCAACTAGTGATCCCGCCTGGTCCGATATCATATCACCAAAGGTATTGTCCGCCAGAATCACACCGTTGAGGACTCGGGGCTCGGTAGCCATGATCAATGATGCTGAATCCGCGAGCTGGTGGATCAACCTCACCTGTGGATACTCTATTGAAAGGGTTTCCTCGACAACACGGCGCCACAGACGTGATGATGCTAAGACATTGGCTTTGTCAAGAGAAATCACGGGCCATGGTGGGTCATGCCGCAGGGCAAGCTCTGCAGCGAGACGAGCAATGCGTTGAATCTCAATAGTGGAATAGCCCCACTCATCCATCGCTGCACTCGTGTTACAGAATAAACATTAGCCACCTTCTACTTCCCACTCAGCGAGTTCAGGTTTACCGTAAATTGTCCTCCTCAACTTTTCTGCCAAAATAGGCGCCTCCACAATTCTCTCGCACGACTACAAAATCGACCCCCTCGATCACCTCCTGTCTGAACGGTGAAAAGTCCCTAGCAATTTCGCGGCTTGGAACTTCCACAGAGCACGGTCGCAAGTTTGCATAGATATCCATGATCTTGCGTAACTGTAATAGACCCCCCTCTGGGCCGTCAAGTCCGCGCCTGATGTGATCCCACTTTGGACCCCCCACCGCGGCGAAAAGGACGGCGTCTGCAGCAACTGCGGCATCTTTTACGGGCTGTGTAACGGATTGGCCATAGGTATCGATAGATATGCCGCCAATAAGTTCTTCTTGCAGATGGAACTGGACTGAGGCAGTGTTGAAGGTTCGCAGGACCTTTATGGCTTCGGCCATGACCTCCGGACCGATCCCATCTCCTGGGAGGACAAGAATGTTGTAGTTTCTTGAATCCGACATGGTGTTCGTAGCCTTTTTGATATGAGTGAGTAACAACCAGCGCAGGTGCAAAAGTCCTGAGATTTAGTAGAGCATCCCTCCCGTAGGGACGGTGATACTATATCCGTTCCGCGGTCGGAGATCAGGCCGAAAGTGCGGGGAATACCAACAACCGGCGTTCCCCCGATAATGACTATCCCTTTTCTTCGAGAGACATGGATCTGCTGCCAGTCTCTTCCCGACGAATATTAATCATCACAATGAATAGCCCTTCGGAAGATCGGGCTAAGAGAAAACTGGAGATTGTCTGGGAAGCTTTAGAACCGGTCTACCTAGTACACAAGATTGACTCAGACCTGGGGCACTATTTATCACTATAGCACCTCTCACACACATATTTTACACTGGGCTATTTTTATCTTTTCTCATTTTGATTATCTTGATAGGTCAATACTGATGATAGCAATATTAAGATCTAGGGATTAGCACAAACTATCTCAACTCTATTAGCACCTCCTCGCGTATCTTCTGCCACGATCTGTACGTATAGTCTACGGTCGACCGAACGTCTTCTCTCAGAATACCTTCATCTTCAAGGTACCCAAGCGGAGGCCAATACAAAAGTAACACAAGCGATATGAGAGGGAGGCACGGAAACCTCGACACGAAGGCCCGTCCGCCGCTAGGAAGGGCTAGGGCCAAATTAGCCTTGTCCTAGTCCTTCCCAGACGACCCATAGGTCTAATGGGGATATGCCTGTCCGCATATTATCTTTTCTTTTTTTTTCTTTTCTATTGAGACCACATGATGCCAATGAACTTGGGCCATAATAATCCACACTTATAGTGGTGATAGAGTAACAGAACCATGTAATATACTCTACCGTATACGATCCACCGAAAGCTATCGCGACCCCAGTTTCAGCTCCCGAGACTTACGTTTCGGCCGATTACAGCGCTAATGCAGGCAAGCTGCGCCATCATTTTGCCCTCTCAATGTAATAAGGGGGCTGTGATACAACTGTTTTCTGTGTTACCACCTTTGCCCCTTTGCGGTGCGGCACAAGGCTGAGCGAAGCAGCCAACTATTTGAACAATCACTCGCCTGCCTCCATATTCAAATAGCAAATGGAGATTAGCAATTTAACACCCTCAGCATGATTGCCAAAAGCATCTGTTGGCTCGTCTGCCTGCAATTCTTATACATCGTGCGCGCATTGGGGGGGAAATACGCCCCATTGCAAGCTCACACCAATGCTGACAAAGACGCCACCATCGCCATTAGACGGGCTCTACACGAGGCTAGAGGGACGACATACTCGATGAACCAGACTCTGTTGACCAAGAGTTGGGCAAATGCTACTATATTTTCCATCGGAGCAAGGTAATCAAACTAACTCCGCTTCCTCCACAATGCAAAGTACACACACTAATTCTGACGATCTTATCCTAGCACCGAAACTTCTGCTGGGTCAAAAAACGGGACAGTGAGCCTGCAATCTGGCCTAGAAATTGTTTGCAAAGCCTGCTATATAAATGGTACTGTTGGTGGCTATTTGACAGTCGAGGATGGGTTCAATGTCACCACGGTCGTGGATATCGCCGAGGCAGATATTGCGAATGTCACGGATTCTGCACTTTCTCAGCTAGAAGATTTTGCGCGTGAAGCTGCCCGCGATATTCTCGAGGACGTCTCCCAGTTCCAATTGATCGATATACCCGCTTGGCCGACATTGGATCTTAACTTCGATCTAGATGAGGCAAACGGATTTCCGGAAGTACATGCACAGGTCGAGTTCGATAGCTTGGAGCTCTATCTGGACCTAGATCTTCAGCTGTCGACCGGAGCTACCTACACACTAGACCTATTCACTTCCGAGACCCCAGCAGGAATATCGATTCCTGGTCTTGACGCCGGTGCTATATTCCAGGTTTCGCTTGTTCTAATAGCCCAGGCGGAAATCGAAATCGGCAGTGGAATCCACATAAAGCTGGAAGATGGTTTAACGCTGGCTCTGGAGTTGTTCAACAACAATGTGTCGAGTATCACCGTGTGAGTCACTCTCTATCACAAGCTGGGGCCCTAGGTGAGGTGGGCTTTTCTTCCCGGGTGACCAACACTAATTGACATGTTGTAGACCGGGTGGGCGGCTGGAATTTCTTCCAGTAACCGTCCAAGGCCATGGATCCCTCCGGGCCCTCTTACAAGTCCAAACAAGTATTGGTTTCCAGATATCAACCCCAAACTCGGTCTCCGTGTTCGAGTATCTCAGCTTTAGTGCAGGGATTGGAGGGGAAGTGTCCGCGTATGTGGCCGACTTTCTGTTGCAGATCGACGCTTCTACAAGCAATGATGCCCACTGCGGCTTTGAAGCGGTTGCAGAGTACACCCTTGCTGTGGGTGCTGCTGCGGGGGCGACAGTTGCTGTTGATACATACCAATGGGGCCCCACGCCCAACACCACCGTGCCAGTGTTCTACACAACGCTGGATAGTATTTGTGCCGGCTATAAGACATCTCCGCCGACCATAACACCCTCTGCCACCCTTGGACAGCGAGACGATCTCGTCACTACTACAGTATCTACCTCAACGACGTATACTATTGTTGACTGTTCATCACAAGGGCTCATCAACTGCCCTGTCTATCTCCAGCGTACGACATCGGTGAAGAGCACTATGACGACTGTTCTCACAGTCGAATCGGGCATAGACGCCACATACCCTGCAAGCACCTTCTCATCCTTGACCAGTGCTATCCCTTTTGGAAGTAATGCTCGCCGACTGGGTTCTACATCTGGAACACCGGTATCCTACGTTCCCCCAACTGCGACCGTCACTAGTAACGCGGATCCCAATACTGATGATGAACACGACCACAACAACTATCATTCCAATAATCACAAACTGATTATCGGCTTGAGTGTGGGACTTGGTTTCCCGGTCGTCGTAGCATTGGCAGCTGTCCTATGGTAGGTTTACCATTTCATTAGGTTTCGCTCGACTCGAAGTCAAAGGAACTGACATATATAGGTGGTTTCTGAGTCGAAGAAATAAATACTCGGCAGTACCGCAACCTGATCAAATAGCTCGTTCTTCCAGTCCGGATAAAGACGCAAAGCTACCACAAGCATTGGTGGCTGCTACTACCTGATGGCAAAGGCTAAGAAGACGGATTACTTCCATTCCGTAAATGAGTATAGCTTTCATAGTGCAGTACCATGTCTGCCTTTAGCACGTCATATCTGAAGCACGTCACCTTTACCCAACAGAGAGATCAATTGTATCTTTAGAATTGGATATAGTCAATCTGAAGCAGATGCGGGCACGCTTCACGATCAGCGTGCTCGGGATACTTGAATTTTATTAAGATACCAACTATAAAAGTTCCATAACAAGATGATACAACGGGTTAGCTTTTGAGTCTGAACCCCTACCCGATTGTCTTCCGAATACATCTTTCTATCTCGTACAGATATCTGCTAATCTTCATCAGCAGAGCTGACACATAGAGGATTCACTATCCTGTCAAATAAGGAAATTCTTAATAAATCCTAGGTATTGTGATTCAACAGTATTGGATTCGCGATGCAAAAACGCTGTTTTGCTTCAATTTTACGTTGAGTGATTCTGCACAACAGAGCAACGAAAAACAGTGGTGAGCTGCTGGGTTGTTTATCCGGTAGGTAGGTACGTTATCATAATTCGAAGCGATTCGGAAACGCCAGGAACCAAATATCTATTTCAAGAGACTTTGAAGCTGGGGTAGTGCCTCGCAGGCCTTCACGGTACACCTACGTTGTACTTGGCTACAATCGAGTTAGACGCCCGTTATGGACATTGGAAACGTGGTCATAATCATAGAATGACTCGGGATACCTGTCTGTGACAAGTCGCAACGCACAACTGGTCTCTAACCTGATATTAGGGTAGGTTCATTTCAATGTGGCACGCCGAGCAAGCAGGTCAGCTAGAGAGGAAAGTTGCACTGGCTAGGAAGAGCTTCAGTATCATTTTTGCGAAATTCGATTCCTTCCAGTTACCCAAACCTGATGTTTCATGTTCACCAGTCTTTACACCAATCTTTGGGATATTAGTCGTCTAATTGTAAGAGATCACTATCTTATATCTATCATAACAAGCTGGAGCTAGCTCTCTATGATCTCATGACTCCTATGACCACTACAACTCATCGTCCTGATGGTTCGACCATGATAGCCTAGCTATCTTATTAAAATACTGTAGTAACTTAGCTATAGTGACAGATTATTGCCACTATATTGAAGTATTTACTGAGCACGCCCCTTGTGCAAAGGGGCACATATGTAACGTCATTATATATCATGTACTAGATGTCGCAAGGTGGATTATTGAAGATATGTGTGAGAAAGAGCTGAAGTATATCTAAAAGAATCAGTGCCAGGTTATGTGAATGTTTTTTGGGGGTTTCTGAGACATAGTAATATTCCTTGGGAGTATACAAGATAATCAAAAATGAGGAAGAAATAAAAATTATAGTAAGCAGAAAAGAGAAGAATAAAAGAAAGGAAAGTAAAGTAAAGTAAAATAAGAGAAAGGAGGGAACGAGAGAAATCGAAAACGAGACAATGGGATGATAGATGGAAACGGAAAGCAATTGGGGAAAGGGAACCGAATGATGAGGACAAAGCGCATGATCATCATCAATCCAATTTAGTAAGATATTCTACTGATTTTATTTGAACTATAGCATGTATCAGTACCAGTTAACCGGTGGTTTTTTCATCATCATCATAACATGGTCAAATTACTTGAATATATATTTATTACTTTTACTTGATTTACTGTGTATCCATAGTGGTGAACATAATAAAGCAATGCATGCTTCTAATAGAATAGACTCATCTATGATAGTAACTTGAAACGATCAGGATAATGTACAGAATACATTACTGAAGTATTATAATTAACGATCACACGGAATCTTAACTATTTCTGACAAAATACTGAAATTTACTTTTGCTGCCTGACAAGTCCGCCTTACTAGTATTAACTAGCAGGGGTCCGTAGATCTAGCAACCTTTTATATCTGAGCAGCAGCTCAAATATGCAGTGAGTCGCTTTCTTCTTTTTTCTATTCTGTTAACCCCCAGTTAGTTTCTCATTCTGTTAGTCTGCGAACACTTCCAATTGTTGCAACGCTGCCGGTAGATGCTTTTCTTAAATCAGACTAGATTCGGTCACGTGAGGAAGCATGAGAGACGGAGGTCTCGCAGATCCATGGGATACTTAGTTAGCCGACTGGCTTGCCGCTGATTAACCGCCGTAGACAAAAGAGTCTTCCACTTACACCAATCAGCGAAAGCGGCATTATCTCCTCTTCTTTAACTATCACTGCCTTTTCGTCAACCCAGGGAAAGTGATGGCCAGAAACAAAAATATACCGCAGGTCACGCGACAGCAATGGACTGCTCAGATGTATCTAGACCATGCATACCAGCCTGCAGCTCTGCTAGTCTACAAAGAAACCCCACCGGAACCTGAGGCGATACAACCAGCCTTCGCAATTCAGGTCTATACGACTGTTGCCCTCAATCAAGATAATGTCCTCATCGCCATATGCCAATACTTGTCCCGTGAAGTCTTCACCTCACCCTGGCCGTCGTTCGAAATCTATTGCACCCCACGAACTGACGTATTCGCCTGCGTGGAGCATCAGCGGCGTGAGATATTCCATCGCAAGGGCATCTCACCATCTCGAGATGATGGTCTCCTCCCCGGAATTGCCAAAGTCGTCCTCAGCAGAGAAGATCAGCAGTTCCAGGGAGTCATATTAGTCATTACCTCCTACAGCTTCCGCGACTACCCGCATTACCCCGACCATGAAGCCGAAACTGGACCTTTGTACGTCAACTTCGACCGCTGTTTCCCGTACCAGGCTCGCGTCGACCTGCCTTCTCCGAAGCATGACGACGAAGACGAGGGATGGGAGGAGGAAATCTGGCCGGAACGGGAGGAGCTTGTGGTCCGCAAGTGCCGGAACATCTACCACGTCCGTCGAGAGTTGGCCTCCCTTCACTTCCGAAGTCAGCGTCATGATGTGTTTGAGGATTACGTGTATGATTATGGCCTGGATGAGGATGAGGGCGATCCTAACAGGCTGGTTCAACCGCCTACGCCGGAGATTGTAGAGGAGTGGCAGCGCAGAGCCGACTCACTGCCCGAGGAGATTGCTGTTGTCCAGCCATCTCCCGACAATGGCGTTGTTGTCATGACTTCGGGCGCTATAACTACCTCGGAGCCAGAACTCAGATATATCATATACGTGACCTTCGCTCACAGAAACGAAAATCACCTGACATTACAGACGATCGGTCGCGCTTTTACTACCGCGATCTTGGAAAATGTCCCTGGACAGAAGACAGTACACTTTGAATTTCATTCGTCTCCAAATCTGTCATTGGGCGCGGCTCTATCGTCTCATCGAGAGTTGATGAAATCGCGACCAGATGTGGGAGTGGCCGTGGCCCAGCCAACTTCAGGGCAAAGGGCCCGCAAGTTCCCACAAAAGGGGTACAATCGCGGCCACCCAAGTGACAGGGAACCTTACCAAACTTTTTTTGTGATCCTTGACCGCCCAGACTTCCTCACCGGGCCAGGGGTGTTGTTTTTCTTGACCGATGGAGATGAGATTACCGATGAGGCGATGCAAAACGTCTACAACTTATATGGAGAACGTAACCAACCAAGAGATTATGCGATGTTTCGGGTTTGGCGCAGTGTGGGAATCCAAGAGGTGGCGCGGAGACTCGCAATAGTCCATTGATATTGGTGCGATGAGCTGCCCTGTAGTCACAGTTCACCATATTTTGGTCCCCCTTGATCCTGAATTTTGAGCCGGGATTTCCGATTAGTTTCGCACTTGGTGCCACGTCTGACAGGAAAAACAAGTAATAGTAACCACGACTATACAGCTTGATCTACATAGATCAAAACCCGGCTAACCTATGCCAACCGAAGCAGTGCGTTGTACTTAGGCCCCACTGGTGCAGCACTAGCGTAACCATTGGAAATAATCAACTGAAACCCACATTAGGAATATTTAAAGCCTAAGTAAAGTTAAATATCACGTCCCAATAGTCTCGAACAACTTTACTTTGTCGAGATAGTCTGTCGCTTGGGTAAGTTGTATCACACAGGAATCTTGACCTGGCCCAACCCGCGGGCCAGGCATGTGGATTATCATATATTCGGTTATGTTAGTCGACGCCGTAGCCACAGTATCTCAGCTAAGCGTTTGAAGCTACTCTTCTGCCCAACCAGGGTACCAAGACGTTGGATTCGATTTTCTCCATATGTCGTTTCTAGTAGGGAAATTGTCACAATGGGATAACAGTCAAATGATATCTGATAAATTTTTAAATAGTATCATTTAATAGGGCTTTCTATAAGAAATACAGTAATATAACTTCTGCCTCTTTATTCAATTGTTCTATAGAGTTATAAGTATTTAAAGATAATAGTATATACTTCCGAATTCAGTTAGTATATGTAATAGAAATTTAATCAGATTAATATATATAATAGAAATTTAAATTAAGTTAATATACTTTTCCACAGGCATTAAGTCTAATTAAGTTTATAAAATATTATAAAAATAAATATTACAGTAATAAGTGTTACTCTAATAAGTATTATATTTATAAATATTATTTTAATAAGTATTATATTAATTAATATATTAATATATCTATAGATTCTAAGAATCTTAATCCACCTGGAAAAATCAAATCAAATATATTTATTATTTAATAATATTTACTATGCTTAAGTTATATATCTTTAAAAGATATTTCTTTTTATAATATTAATATATAATAATTTATATATATACTAATAGCCAGTTATAAAAAAATAAAGATTATATTCTAGCCTACAGACTGTAAAGATAATAATATTATAAAAATAAAATAAAAATTTAAAAAATAATATTATATTAATTTAATTAAATATGTATGATTCTATTAAGCTAACAGATAATAGAAAAAGACAATATAATAATTAATAATTTTCTTATAGTTCTTGTACTCAGATAGTATTCTTTCTAAAGAAAATATAAAGATTAATATATAAGCTAATATTATATTTATTTATAATATTATTCTTTTTAATATATCTAGTTCTCTCATTTCTCTTATGGCTGGTAAGGTACAAAAAAAGAAAAATTATTAAAAAAATAAAAAGAAAGAAAGATAATTTATTTATTATTATATTTTAATCTTTATAATTTTATTAAATTACTAGATAATAAAGTAGGTAATAGTTATTATATTATAGAAAGCCTTTATATAACAGGGACTCTCTACTTTTTTAATATATCTTATTCTCTTACCTCTCCATACAGGCAGAGATTATGGGAGAAAAAAAAAGAAAAAAAGATAATTTTATTAATATTTAAACTCTTATAATTTTTATAGAAAATAGATTATAGAGTAGATAATAATATTTTTATAATACTGAGAGTTCTTTTTCTTATTACAGAGGCTCTCTATCTTTTTAATATATTTTATTAGCTTGTTTCTCCGTGCAGGCAGAGATTATAAAAAAAAAAAAAAAAATTCTATTATTACTTAAATCTCTATAATTTTTATAGAAAATAGATTATAGAGCAGGTGGCAGAGCTCTTATAATATTAAAAATTCTTTCTCTTATTACAGGAGTCTTTTATTTTCTTAATATATTTTATCAGCTTATCTCTCTATACAGGTAAAAATTATAAGAAAAAAAGAAAAGAAGAAATATAATTCTATTATTACTTAAATCTCTATAATTTTTATAGAAAATAGATTATAGAGCAGGTGGCAGAGCTCTTATAATATTAAAAATTCTTTCTCTTATTACAGGAGTCTTTTATTTTCTTAATATATTTTATCAGCTTATCTCTCTATACAGGTAAAAATTATAAGAAAAAAAGAAAAGAAGAAATATAATTCTATTATTACTTAAATCTCTATAATTTTTATAGAAAATAGATTATAGAGCAGGTGGCAGAGCTCTTATAATATTAAAAATTCTTTCTCTTATTACAGGAGTCTTTTATTTTCTTAATATATTTTATCAGCTTATCTCTCTATACAGGTAAAAATTATAAGAAAAAAAGAAAAGAAGAAATATAATTCTATTATTACTTAAATCTCTATAATTTTTATAGAAAATAGATTATAGAGCAGGTGGCAGAGCTCTTATAATATTAAAAATTCTTTCTCTTATTACAGGAGTCTTTTATTTTCTTAATATATTTTATCAGCTTATCTCTCTATACAGGTAAAAATTATAAGAAAAAAAGAAAAGAAGAAATATAATTCTATTATTACTTAAATCTCTATAATTTTTATAGAAAATAGATTATAGAGCAGGTGGCAGAGCTCTTATAATATTAAAAATTCTTTCTCTTATTACAGGAGTCTTTTATTTTCTTAATATATTTTATCAGCTTATCTCTCTATACAGGTAAAAATTATAAGAAAAAAAGAAAAGAAGAAATATAATTCTATTATTACTTAAATCTCTATAATTTTTATAGAAAATAGATTATAGAGCAGGTGGCAGAGCTCTTATAATATTAAAAATTCTTTCTCTTATTACAGGAGTCTTTTATTTTCTTAATATATTTTATCAGCTTATCTCTCTATACAGGTAAAAATTATAAGAAAAAAAGAAAAGAAGAAATATAATTCTATTATTACTTAAATCTCTATAATTTTTATAGAAAATAGATTATAGAGCAGGTGGCAGAGCTCTTATAATATTAAAAATTCTTTCTCTTATTACAGGAGTCTTTTATTTTCTTAATATATTTTATCAGCTTATCTCTCTATACAGGTAAAAATTATAAGAAAAAAAGAAAAGAAGAAATATAATTCTATTATTACTTAAATCTCTATAATTTTTATAGGAAATAAATAATAAAGCAGGTGCTAGAGCTTTTATAATAATAAAAGTTTTTTTTCTTATCATAAAAGCCCTCTGTCTTTTTAGTATACTTTATCAGCTTATCTTTTTAAATAAAAGAGATTATATAAAAAAAATAATCTTATTATTATATTTAAACCTCTGTAATTTTTCTGATATATATATATAATACTGGAAGACTTCTACCTGCTTAATATACTTCATCTTTTTAGCTCTATTTATATTATAATAATCATCTTTAACCTCTATAATTTCTGTAGAAAATAGATTATGGAGCGGATACCAGAATCTTTATAATACTAAAAGCTTTTCTTTTTATTACAGGAGTCCTCTGTCTTTTTAATATACTTTATTAGCTTATTTTTCTATACAGACAGAGATTGTGGAAGAAAGAAAAAAAAAGAAAAATAATTTTATTATTACTTAAACCTCTATGATTTCTATAGGAAATAGATTATAAAATAGGTGGCAGAGTTTTTACAGTATTGGAAGTAGAGTGGTTATACCTGACCGTTATACCTTAACCTAACCTTAACTGTAACCTGACGGTTAGATTAAGGTATAAGAATTCTCTTAACTATATAGTTAAAAGTAGATTTTAGTTAAAAGATTACTTTAATTAATCTTAATTACTGGTTAGAAAGATTAGATATATTTAGAAAATTAATAATTACAGATTAATTAGTAATTTATACAGAGTCTTTATAAAAATAATATACTAGTAATAATATATTTTTAATTACTGTATTATTAGAACAGGTATTAAATTAATTATTAATTAATAATAATTTAATTTTCTAGTTAACAGCCAGTAGTCTAGTTACTTCTGTATTAGACTTTTATAGATAATACTAGAAATCTGAATATAATTAGATTAGACTACTAGAAAAAAATATATTAATTATTATTTAAATTATTCTTTATATTATTCTGGTCGGTGGTTATGATAATAAAGAAATTATATAATTTAAGTATTTATTTATATCTGGATATGTATGATATTATTAAATTAAGAAAAAGCTAAATCTTCTTTTTTTAATAATATTTTATTTTTAGAATTATTATTAAGATTATTTATATTCTTATTTTTATTAATATAGAAAATTATTATTAGCTTATTATCTTTTCAATCCTTGGCTGTGAATATAATAGAATCTAAAAAAAAATTATTAAAAATATTCTAATATTTTTTAATAATAGTAAAGTGATTAGTATATATCTGGAGTATAAAGACTTTAATAATCTTAGAATACAGATAGTTCTAGTAATAATAATAAATATTTTAAAAATTATTAAAAAGATATTTAATACTAATTTTATTAATTATAATAATTAAAAAGTCCCTAGCCATGTAATAAAGAATAAAAAATTAATTATAATAAGATTTTTAATAAATAAGAATATTAGAGTATCCAGTAATTTCTAGATAATTATTAATATAAATATAATTTTAGAAATAATTAGTTTATTATTCCAGTCTTTAATAATTTATATATTTTTAATATTAAGATAAACCTTAAGCTCTTTAAATATTACTGTAAAAAATAAGAATTTTTAATACTTTAAAATATTATAAAAAGTTTTATCCAGATCTGAGAGTATACTAGAGACTAAAAATAGTATATTAATAATAGAATTCTACTAGTAGTAAAAATAAAAGATTTTTTTAAAGATAATTTAATATTTAAAATATTAATTAGTATTATTATCTAGCCAGATACTTTTCTTGAATTTTTTAAGTTTTAATATAGGATCTAGAACTATTATAATTATATAAATATAATTTTTAATCTGGTAAATCTAGTAATAATATTTATAAAATTTCTAATATATATTTTCTAGACTTTAGAGAATCTTTTTCTTTTAGAATATCTATTTTTATACTAGCTAATTAATAAACTAATTAAAATAATTAAAGAAATTATTATAAATATTATAAATCTTATAAATTATAGATTTATTATTCTCTGATAGGCAGGAGATGA